CAAATAGCCTTGGCTATCACTTCCTTTTGACGGCCGTGATGGTCAAGTGGATTAAGGCGCCCTGTAGTTACCAGTTGCGTTGCTCCTGGGAGTATGGGTTCGAGTCACTTCTGGGGTGTGAGTTTTCATTCATATATATATATATCCCTCACCCCTATTCACCTTTTTTCTCTCGCGATTCTCTCTCCCTCTCTTTTTCCACTATTCTTTTTATTCTCTCTCTTCTCTCAACTCTTGTCTATACCCATTCATCCCATTCTCCTGCCCTCCTCTTCAACTTTTAATAAACTCTCTCTTTCCCTTTTCACCTTTCCCCTCACACTCCTAACATCCTCACTTCCTCTTCCAAACATCTTCTCTACTTCCTCCCACTCCCCTCACCCTCTCCCCTCTTCCTCCCCTCTCCCCCTTCCACCCCCTATCTTCCCTCTTCCCTCTGATGTTCCTGTCGTGTCCCTGTTATACTCTCCTGAAATTCAGTTCGACAATTTAATTTTTCAGGTCACTACAAATGGACAGGCGACATCTGTACTTGTCTATCCTGCGGAATTGGCATTGTTGTCAGTCCCTGGTGGGTGGTGGTGGTGGTGGTGGTGGGTGTGGTAGTAGTGGTGGTAATGGTGAGTATGGTAGGGGTGTTTTTTTTATTAATACATGAGGTACATCTGCATTTGTGCGGCACCCCTAGACTATAGGAAGTGGCAACCCATCCTCCGAATTGACAGTACGATTTAATACTAAGTGTAATAAGTACACTTTCTTACGACAGTGTGTCAAAAAAGCTAACTAGGTGATGTTAAAAAATCCCCATCACACAGGATGGTTAGTCATACAGAGGCATGTGATAGGCAGTCTGCACTGGCAAAATGCATCCAGAGTCTGCACTGGCAGACTCCGGATGCATTTTGAGGATATCATCAACACAAGAGTGAATAAGGTAGCAGTAGTCACGTCTAGTTCCTTCGGGCATTTGTTTTTTACCTCTTCTACAATGACTACAATGTCATCCATTGTTTCTTCTGGCCTTCGATCCTACAACCTTAGTCTCCATGCTGGTTTTATTGTAAAGTTCTCCTAAAACCTTTTGTTGAATTCGTCACATACGTCCTTATCATTTTCTGTGAGAAGTCCTCATTGTCTCCTCAATCTGGGCACATGGTCCTCACTGTTGTTTGGTCGGTTGAAGTCCTCAGAGCTAACAACGCTATAACAGACATAGAGGGCTGATCTTATCGAGATCTTTAACATACTGAGCAAATGAGAAGATATTCGATAACACTTCTTTAGAACATTCAAACCACACACTAGGGGGCACCAGCTTCAAGCTCAATAGGCCAGAGTATAGGACAATAATAGCACATGCTTCAGTTGCTACAAATAGCATAGTCTGTGTGGGAGATCAGATGCTACAAATAGCACAGTCTGTGTGGGAGATCAGATGCTACAAATAGCACAGTCTGTGTGGGAGATCAGATGCTACAAATAGCACAGTCTGTGTGGGAGATCAGATGCTACAAATAGCACAGTCTGTGTGGAAGTTCAGTTGCTACAAATAGCACAGTCTGTGTGGAAGTTCAGTTGCTACAAATAGCACAGTCTGTGTGGAAGTTCAGTTGCTACAAATAGCACAGTCTGTGTGGAAGTTCAGTTGCTACAAATAGCACAGTCTTTGTAGGAGATCATATGCTACAAATAGCATAGTCTGTGTGGGAGATCATATGCTACAAATAGCATAGTCTGTGTGGGAGATCAGATGCTACAAATAGCATAGTCTGTGTGGGAGATCATATGCTACAAATAGCATAGTCTGTGTGGGAGATCAGATGCTACAAATAGCACAGTCTGTGTGGGAGACAGTTGCTACAGCTCACAACTATTTATTTGCTACAGTTACACGCCCTCTCCTGTGATTTGAGCGCGATATTACAGTATCAGAATAATTAAAATAATAAATACTTTATGTAAATATTGGCAAATATGTTCACACACATTTTAACATTGTTCATTTCGAGAAATCATGAACGCAAACAGCTTTTTTTCTCTGTAGCGTTTTTAATATCTGGTAACACGTGACTGTAATGAGTGCTATGATTGGCCAATACACGAACCAATAGCTTCAGAGGGTTTACACACGACTGTAACGAGTGCTATGATTGGCCAATACACGGACCAATCGCTTCAGGGGTTTAATTGAATCATAGTGGCTCCCTGTCGACCGAAAATAAATGGAGCCTATAGGTCGTTCTCTATATTAGTCGTCCTGTGTTTTATGACTTTTTTTCAGCCGTTTTCATTAAATAAAGTATCTGGGAAAATGGGTATTTTGTGAACGAAAACTAATTAAATAGTTGACATTATTATTAATATTATTATTATTATTTTCCTTCCTGGGGTCTCATGTGAGGGGTTCAGGACATCTTGGGATGTCCAAGATGTCCTAAAATATCCAAAACATCTTGAGATGTCACAGATATCTTGAGATATCCAAGACATCTTCAGATGTCAAAGATGCCTTGAGATTCACGTGAATTTACCCGAGATCCACTAACACTAGTGGCCTTGACGAGGACAGGAAGCCGGCGGCTTGACCAAGGGTTCGGTGATCACGGTGCTATGTATGTTTGGGGGTGATCCTAGACGTCATGGGTTCGAATCCTGGTACGGTTATTTAAGAGTTCTTGATGATATATATATTAGATATTATGAATATGTCTATGGGTCTGATTAATGACAAAAGATTAGAACGGTAGGATAGCTGCAGGGGAGATATAATAATAATAATAATAATAATAATAATAATAATAATAAAGGTAAAGAAAAGACCAATTACATATATATTTAATAATACACTTACACGTGTATTGGGGCATTTCCTCATCTTCCTTCAAACAATACGGAAGTTTCTCTAATAATAATAATAATTTTATCCATAAACTATACATAAGAACACATTACAGTACGTGGTTAATTTGTAGGTGTAGAGGTTCCATATTAAATAAAGTCACTAATAGGGAAAACGTTTCGGCGATAACAATATTTATGTCTCACTCTCCTGTAGTCACTGAAGGGTAAATACTGAGTCACTTTTGGGCCCTAAGATTGATTGATGAAGATTAAGCCACCCAAAAGGTGGCACGGGCATGAATAGCCCGTAAGTGGTAGCCTTTTGTAGCCATTACCAGTATCAATAGCTGATACTGGAGATCTGTGGAGGTGCGATTGCACCCTACAGAGAGGTCGTGACCTCTGGCATCTAGTGGTTGTTGTTGTTGTTATAGATTCAGCTACTCGGAACAAGTTCCAAGTAGCACGAGCTATGGTGAGCCCGTAACTTATCTAGCACAGGAGCGGGGCAAGTGTCTGCTGTGTGATTGATTGATTGATTGATGAAGATTAAGCCACCCAAAAGGTGGTACGGGCATGAATAGCCCGTAAGTGGTGGCCTTTTGTAGCCATTACCAGTATCATTAGCTGATACTGGAGATCTGTGGAGGTGCGACTGCACCCTACAGAGAGGTCGTGACCTCTGAGTTATTATTCGTTGTTGTTGTTGTTATAGAGTCAGTTACTCGGAACAAGTTCCAAGTAGCACAGGCTATGGTGAGCCCGTAAATTACATGGCACAGGAGTGGGGCAAGTAGCACGGGCTATGGTGAGCCCGTAGTGGACTTACCTGGCACAGGAGCGGTGCTGTCGAGAGACCGGGGCAGAGGTACTCAAGATCACACTCGTGCGATCGCTGTGTGGTCTGGTGAGTTCCTTATATACACAGGCGAGGCCGTGTAGGTGGCGTTGGTGTGCAGGTAATTGTCACCCAGCAGACGTAAACGAGCAGTAGGCTTGTTGACCAGCGGGTGGAGCTGCCACCCAGACACCAGGTGTGTCGGGGTCACGGGTACTGGAGGGTAGAGAATAGTGGTGTCTTGTCTAGACACAGGCTTCTGATCACGTATTGTTCTTGCTGTTCTGGACGTTAATTTCTTACACTTGAGTATGCAGTTATGTCATTGTTGAATAGGCGATGAAGAAACAGGCCTAATCTCCTTAGGAAAGGAGATTCTCGTGACAATATATATGCACACTGCCTGCCTGTTTCCCCATACTACAATGAATTATTATTATTATTATAAATTTAAGTCGTGATTCTTATGAATCTGCCCGAAAGTTTGGGCAGATTCTACCCAAATCTGCCAGAGTTTCGTTTCCGCCGAAACGCTATGCGTGTTAGTGGCTTTGCAAGAGTGTAAAAATACAGCTCATCCTCCTGTTGTGTTAGCACTTAGAGTAACGATGAGGACCATAGTATATATACCGACCTACAACGGAATTAGAAAGTAGAAATGTGAACTATTGAGTTGGACAAACTGGAAAACTATTTTTTACTTGTGTTGCTTTGACAAACTAAACTAACCTAACCTAACCTTCCTAGGCCTAATACACGATATCTGAGGCCTAATATAGTGCAGATGTGTGCTATTCTAGGCCTAGGAATATTTAAGTTTGTGGTTTAGTTTCATTTATTTTACTGCCGGAAACGCTGAGCGTACTAGTGGCTTTACAAGAATGTTATTACTATGCTATGTATCCTCACAATCCCAATGTACCTTCTTGTATATAAATAAATAAATAAATAAAAGAATTCCATACTAGTCAGTATACTACTATCTAAAAGCTAAGTACGTACGATTTTTTTTTACTATTGACGACTGTCACGATAGGAACTATCTAAACAGAAGGATGGGTTGAGCTTCTTATGTAATCTCACATATACATTGTATCTTGTAAATAAATATTATTATTATTATTATAGGAATATTTACATTTTGTTCACAGAAATTCAGTTAAATATGGATTACAAAATTTATCTTTTAATTCTCCTAAAGCATTTTAATATGGATAAATTATTGCATAAATGAAAACAAAAATATGATTTGTACTTTGTTAGCTTTATCATCAATTACGATTTTATTTGTAATTTGTTTATATGTATATTAGATGTCGATATTGTAACCAGGATTTAGGCAGTCGTGTTAAGGCGACTAAAATCAACAAACTAGAGATTATCATCAGCAAGTTGTGAAGTAGACTCCACGTGCCATAAATAAGGCGAGGAGCATGGTGGAACTGACACATAGTGAGAGGAAGTGAGTAAAGTGAGGTGAATGACGCCATACGAGTGGGCAGAGGTCGCCAGGAGAAGAGCGAGTGGCCGCCAGAGTTACTCTCGGCTTCACTATGAGTGAAGGATCCGCACTGATACAGTGGTGCTGCCTCCTCTTCTGTGTCATTCTCTCAGGCAAGTGTCTAAATACTCGCACAGGCTTGGCGCCTTCTTTTTTATTGTTACTTTGCAGGCAAATGTCTTAAACCCTGTCTCTTACCTTGATCTGCTTCAGATGGCACTCGTAAAGTTGAGATTTGGACCATCTTTTCTGATTTAATGGTTCCAATTGGTAGATGTCTTAGAAGACACTATGATACTAGGAAAAAGTTCAACATAGAGTGACAAATCATCCCAGAACTGTCAACTCTCATCCCAGGAATAGCCGAGGCCCACAGGGCTAATATTACAAACAAGACTCGACAGGGCTGTCTAGGGGCACCAACTAACCTAACGGACTTACTGTCCTTGATTATGGACAACCATTAGATGAACCATGTACTCTAGAAGCTACAATAGAAATTCTATTGCAGTGACTTTCATGTCTGCAGGAATTCCCCATATCACAAGTAACATTTCACAAGAATTTTTCGTTGACTGTATTACAATTATTGTTTCCGTTGAATTTCACATACTGGTACAACAAATGACGTCTGCACATTTCCCAGAATTAAGACGTTCCTGTCAACGAGCAGCGTTGGTCTAGACCAAGTCAGGTGGACAGGAATATACTGTAAGGCCACATAACCACAACATCTGGGCATTCTCAACACAGCTTAGCCAGAAGCAACACCACCACTGATCTACCCCAATCCACCACCTCTGCCACCATTTATAATAATAATAATTCATTGCACAGAGAAATCACATAAACATGGTGATGTTATGTTCATGGTCGATGAGAGATTCAGTAGAAGCCATAATGAAGATTTGGACCTTTACTCTGGTACTCCCAAGTACATAACTTAGACAACTAGTCCACGACATGGTAAAAGAATTGCAACTTGGGATTCAACTGAATCCACAAGGGTTCGTGGTTCCTGGACAACAGAACCAGAGTGCATGGGGTAAGTTGTGAAAACCTTGGATTCGGCAGCTTTGAGAACCCTCATACATTCAGTAGAATCCCAGGTTGCAATCCTTTTACCATGTCGTGGCCTAGTTGTCTAAGGCATGTGCCTGGGAGTACCCAGAGCATAGGTTCGGATCTTCATCACATCTCCCACTGATTTTCTCAATAATTCATTGTGTCGTGGGGACAGGCAGCCATTATACATACAGTACATGTTATGCTTATATCGAGGTCCTTCCCCAAGATCAAATTACTGACCCCTCCTTAGGATACAGCTCCAGAAGTTGCTGACTATCTCCTGGGTACCTATTTACTGCTAGATGGACAGGGGCATTAGGTGACAGGAAACGCACCCAACCGTTTGTCATACTCAGGATTCGAACTTGGAATTCTTGATTGAGTCGAGACTGAACACGACTGTACTTCTGGGTCCCTATTTGCACAACTGTACTAATTTTTTGGAGGGTGGAAAACCTGGTGAACGGATTTGATTTGTTTGGAGATACTGTGTTTTATATAAGAGGTCTGGATTTTCAAGGACGTACTGAATAGTACTTTGTTATATTCATTCATTCATTTGTCTCTGAACATTTAATATTCACATAATTTTGATATTATTTATGCAGTACAGTATATGGGAAAGAGTTGCAATCTTCCTTATTTTACGAATGGCAAAATCTCAAGATTTCATGTATATATCTAGCGTAGTGTATTATTATTCCTTTTATTTTCCTTCAAAGGCTATTTATGGTGCTCACTTATTTATGTTGTAATAAACTTTTCAGGATGTGTGTCAGATTCTCCTTTAAGAGAGCCCAAACCTCAAGTAACCGAGAGTAACAAGAACATGTCATCACCAGGCAATAACCTCACAGGTCCGGCACCAGCCACCTCCAGGCCTCCAACTATGCCAGAAAACTGCTCGGTACATTGAAGAGTTTCTATGACATGTGTTGCAGCTATGTATTCCATTGTAGAAATATTGATGGTTGTGAGGATGATATGTATAATACACAAGCAGTTCAACATGAATGATTTTCCTCTCTGGAGTTCTGGTCCAGATTTTAGGCCATATGTTATCCTCTTATACTCTAAGTAATTACTGTATCACTAAATGGATAGCCCATATGCTTACTATAAACTGTATATGCTCTTCTGAGCCATCACTTGCTTGGAAGAGCAAGTTGCTCTTTAACATAATATTAATGCGATGTTACTGAAGAGCAACTCTTCAGTTGCTCATTAACGTAATATATCAATATGTAATATAACCAGGATCACACATAGGCAAGATAACATTCTGGCATCAGTGCCACAGAGACTTTCCATACGTTTCTCCAGGGTCATTAACCCATTTTGTTACTTAAGGTGATTGTGATTGCCCAAAAGAAATTGGGGCAAAATTGCAAAGATCAACCTCTGTTAAGTGCTTAGACAATGTTTCCAACTTGTATAATTTCTCCCTAGATCCTCTGACCTAGGGGCCTGACGGCTGAGTGGACAGTGCTTCGGATTCGTAGTCCTGAGGTTCCGGGTTCGATCCCCGGTGGAGGTGGAAACAAATGGGCAGAATTTCTTTCACCCTGATGTCCCTGTTACATAGCAGTAAATAGGTACCTGGGAGTTAGACAGCTGCTACGGGCTGCTTTCTGTGGGTGTGTAACAAAAAGGAGGCCTGGTCGAGGACCGGGCCGCAGGGACGCTAAGCCCTGAAATCATCTCAAGATAGCATGTGGATTCCTCTATTGATTAGCTACAGTTTAAATATATTTTAGTGTGTATTCTATTTGTCATTAAGAGTAGCAGTAGTAGTATAAATTCATCTTGTCCACATGAACCACCCACTTTTAAAATCTAAAAACTCTTTACAGGATCGTTCCAGTTGGCGTGGTCAGCGTGACTGTCCGAGCACTTCACCTTGTCATATGTTGGGAAGAGAATGTCTAGACTGCAATTTTAACTGCACTTGTATTTATGGTCAGGAAGTTAACGTTACCTGCCAGCCCAAAAAGGAGTATATTTGCGAGGTGAGTTTTCAGTGTATTGCTAATGTGCTGCATATGAACATCAGTGCAACTTGTAATGTCTCGTTGTTCAGCAGTGATACTTATTGCAATAAAATATTTACATTTTCAGAGCTAGTTAAATTATGTGCAGTATGCACTGAATAGAATTCGCCCCTGATGTTGCAATGTTTGTACAGTGTCTTGGTTACTCGATCACAGTTTCATGGAGGTCATTATTTTCTTCATTTATATTGTTAATTATACTTTATCTTGAAGTAAATAGTATATTTGATGCAATCCCTGCAGCTAAGGTGTCACTGTGGTGAGGAAGGTTGTTAGCCATCATTGTTCGTATTTTCTTCTGGGATGGCTTCTATGATGGCTTCTCCCTGTTGCTAGCAACCTGGATAGCTCCATCCAGCTTTAATCACACCAAGCTGTTGAGGTATTATATAGATATATACACATATATGCACATATGTTGTACCTAATAGCCACAATTGAACTACTTTGCCTAGTATGCAAGATCCAATTTACCTAACAGACAGTGATTTTTGTTATTTTCAAATATTTTTTCTCAAATTGGTTTTTACCGATTAATATTATTATGTCAAGGACATGAATTACTGAGTTAGGTTAGGTAGGTTAGATTTGATCAAATTTCTATGTTAGTTTTAAAGAAATCTAGTGTGGTTCTGGATAGTTGATTGTCACCAGAGGAAAACACAAAGGACATTGTACGAGGAGCATATGCTGAGTTTTCTAGCTTCAGATTTGCTTTTAATTACATAGATGGGGAAATATTACAGAAACTGTTGATGACTTTAGGGAGACAAAAATTGCAATATGCAGCAGTTGTATGGTGCCCATATCTTGAGAAGCACATCAGTAAACTGGAAAAGGTGCAAAGGCATGCTAAAAAATGGCGTCCAGAACTGAAAAACAAGAGTTACGAAGAGCTAGAGGTGTTAAATATGCCAAAACTAGAAGGTAGAGGAAAAAGGCAATATGATCACCACTTACAAATTAAAGTAGTAATCAACCAAATTGACAAAGAGGAATTCCTGAAACTGGTAACCAAAAGAACAAGAGTTTATAGATTCACGCTAAGGAAACAAAGGTACTGTACCAAAAAATATTAAAAAGTTTTCTTTTGTAAACAGTGTGGTAGATAGTTGGAACATATTAAGTGAGAAGGTGGTGGAGGCCAAAACCGTCAGTAGTTTTAAAGTGTCGTATGACAAAGAGTGCTGGGAAGATGGAACTCTCACCCTGTAACTACACTTGGGTAATTATACACACATTGTTGGAGCCCACCTGATTCTTGAATACCATCCTAGGAACTTTATCTTACTTTTAAGTGGATTCATTTTTCTCTTATACCACCAAAATTTCTTAATTCCAAATCAAGGAGATGAGCACATTCTGGACAAAGCCAATAGTCATTCAGACCTTGTTTTCTGTTGCTGCCCTGTACTGTTGTCTTGCACATTTGCAGCTAGATACCTGCCCAAGTTTCCTCGCCTTGAGAATTAGTTTGGTTCTCATCTGCTCCTCCTAATGCCTCACCTCCAGCTGCTGTGTTTGTGAATGATCTATCTTTGGGCTGGTTCTTGGGTTAGATGATTGATTTTCATTTACAGTCATATCTCTCTTCTATGGGTTAGTCATGCCCTTGGAGCCGGTCGGCCGAGCGGACAGCACGCTGGACTTGTGATCCTGTGGTCCTGGGTTCGATCCCAGGCGCCGGCGAGAAACAATGGGCAGAGTTTCTTTCACCCTATGCCCCTGTTACCTAGCAGTAAAATAGGTACCTGGGTGTTAGTCAGCTGTCACGGGCTGCTTCCTGGGGGTGGAGTGGGGACACTAAAAAGCCCCAAAATCATCTCAAGATAACCTCAAGATAACCTTCTCTTTTGTTTTCTTGGATTTTTTCAGGGCCTTGGCTTATCTCGGGAAGAAGCCAAGTGGGATAGCTCGGTAGACAAGCATTTGAGTGAACTGTACTGTGTATCTTCCTGGGTAAAATCATTTGGTTGCCCCAGTACCCTCCCTTATTACCTAGCTGCCTCTTTATGCAGAATTCTTTCTTTCACAAGGAACAGTGTCACAAAGCTTAGTGAAATGGACCATGTTGTGGATCAGTTGGTATCACTTGGTGGCTCAAGGGCCAAATAAATCAACCAGTACATTGTTCTTCGACAGCTTTAGGGTTATCACAAAGTGCTTGTAAAGCATTTTATGTGTTGTTTTGAACAGTATTCAGTTAACTTTTGTTAGACAACCTTCTTCAATGCATTATAGTAACATTACGACATACAGGGACATTTGAAAAGTTGGATGTGGCTGCTGTAAATACTGTACAGTAGAATGCCGTTCACCCTGACTGCACATTTTGCTCCACCACATGACAGTGATTCTGCGTAGAAAGGCATTATTCGTGTATACTCTGAACCTATTATTATATTTGTACTGTACTTGATATAGCAACATGCATCAAACACAAAGGTATTTTATGTTTTAGGGCAAGAAAGAGTTTAGATTGGCAATGGTGTGCAGATACTGCTACCAGACAGCTTCCTGGGAGCACAGCTGCCTTGGCACTGATCAGTGTCTAGCCGTAACTTCACCAAGAGAAACCTTTACGTGAGTCCCTACTTTTTTTAAAATTTCAACTTTATAACTACTAAAAGTATTTGTATTTGGAATGGATTAAAACCAGCTAAAGTTCAGTGATTTGTGTATGATGGTAAACAAATTAATGGGGAATGAAGTCTCATTGGCTAGTCAACTTGTGAACAGAGCAAATTAGATGGGAATTATTCAAGCATATATTGAGTTCTGATTCTATCTCTTTTTTAACATGACATCAAAGTATATGTAATCCATTTATTAGTTTCTTTATTTTTTCTGCTGGATCCCCTTGGTGGCTTCCTGAAACTATCTTGCCAAGATGACTCTCCTACTGGGTCACATTAGTCACAGGAGTCCTGCTTGGCCTACCAGAGACCAGAACTTGCCCCCACCCCCTCCCACACAGAGGCACAGAGAGCAGGGGAAGATTATTATCACCCTCACCACTCATTGTCCCTATTCTTCATCATGGAAGGATAACACGGCTCATGGTTCTTCAAGCTGGATCTTCACAGTTCATCCCTTTAACAATGCTGTTGGAAAGTATCTAGCCCATTTTGCCAGCTCCTAGTCCCATGATTTGTGGGCTTTCCAGGTTGTCTGCCTCGGCCTTCAACAAAGGTGGTCAGTCCTTTGCCCCTCTCCTCGGTTTGGGGTTGTCAAGTCAAGAATTCCCCTTCAGCTGTGTGCAGTCTTTGCCATGTGTTTGAACTTGGAAATGGTCGAACTAACATCATCTCTTCAATGGGTGTCTTTTATTCCCAATCCCCAAGCGGGACTCATCAGATTTCCAATCTTTCAGGAGTGAATAGCTTCATTCCCTTGTCCAGCCTTCCACGTGACCACTTTGTCTTGGGTTCGTCTGATATTACAATTTGGTTCTTGAAGGGCGTCCCTGGACCTCGAGGCTGCATACTGGTATACCCCGATTCATCCGAGATTCTGAGACTGTTTAACACTTTGGCATACCCCGCGCGCCACCCCTCAACTGTGCGATATGGGACCCAGGGTGTCACGGGAGCGCGCGTAAATTCTGAAAAGTGAAAAGTAAATTCTCTCTTCAACTTTGTCACCTTAATTCTCGTCCTACGAGATTAAATTTTGTATCATTGTGTTCGCAATAGAATTCTCTACAGCACTAAATGCATATAAACTCCAAAAGCCCGGCTAATTACCCGCAGCAAACAGAGAAAGTGCGAACAAGTTACCCAGGAGCGCGCAAACGCGATAAAATGTTTTCACTATTTTCACTCTGGTCACCTCAATTTTCGTCCTAGGTCTTTCATTTTGGTCTCAATGGGTTCGCAATTGAATTCTCTAGAGGAACATTAGCATATAAAATAAAAAACCTGGTCACGCTCCAACCGCCGACGAGTTGAAGACGGGCCACGCGTTAGCCGCAAGTGAGCGCTCAGACGCCTTCCAGCTACACTGCCAATTCCCGCCCTTTTCAGGCCTTTCTTTTGCAATTTTCTTCCTGGAAGGGCCTTGTTCATGATCACTATCTATCGTGGAGTAAGCGTAGATAGTTTCTAAAGCCGCAGTAAGAAATATAGCCACGGAAAATAGCCGAAATGTACACACGTTTGAGATGCGAGGGGAGGCAACATTGGTTACAACAGTGGAGCGAAAACAATGGGCCCACGGCATGTGCCAAGCCGCCTGAGGGCCACGAGGCTCAACAAAGAAAATGGGAAGATATCGGCGCGCATTTTAAAACCAGTCCCCAAAAAATCGGATAAAAACCTGATTTTTGGCGATTATTTAAAGTGGATGACGCAATGCTGCGTCATCCCCGGTATTACCGACAGTAAACGGATGACGCAATGCTGCGTCATGCCCGGGCGAAAGTGTTAAGTTTTACTGTGGGGTGTCAAGCCTACCTCTTCAAGATTCTGCCCTTCAACTTGAATCTGGCTTCTTGCAATTTTACCAGGTTAGTACAGGCAGTTGTCCCAGTGGCATCTCGTAAGGGTTTGTGTGTTAGCTTACCATGACAACTGAGTGTTTTGGGCTCCCAGCCAGTCTGCATGTCAGCTGGCCAGGGATCTGGTTCTTTCCCAGTTCACCAGGTTAAGGTTCATGGTAAACTGGCAGATATCCCAGTTGGTTCCATCCCAGGTTCAGACCTGGTTGAACCTCGTTTAGGGTTCCAGGTTTGTATGTGTCTCTTCCCCTGCCTTCCATAACTCTGTTCCGCCTCCAGCAATGTCTATGTATGCTGTTGGAGCAGCCCCAAGTGACTCGTCGGTTAGTTGAGTGGTTGTGTGGGAGCCTGAACTTTGCCTGCGTGGTAGTTTCCCTGGGTAGGGTGTGGTCTTGGGCAATGTACTGATTCCTCCAGTAGCAGTTATTTTGCCCTTGCCAGGACCGTTGGGTTTGGGGCCTACCTGCCCTATGGGTCTTGCTTCACTTGCTTCCTCTCCGAGATTTCAGAGTTCAGTTCCATGGTGCCATCCTCCCCATGGCTCAATGTATTCATAGACTCCTCAGCTCTGGGTTGGGGTTTCGTGACCAGCGCTCATCGAGCCTCTCAGATGAGTTCAGTCCATTCCTTTGGGCACACAGGACTGTTCATGAGTTTGTGGCTGCGTGGCAGGCTTTGTAGAGAATAATCACCCTCTGGGCTCTGTTCTTCAACTCCAGTCCAACTGCTTCCCTTTGCTTCATTCCCTGAACTGCAGAGAATCACTTTGATCCTATCCCTGTTGAGCTGGACTCTGTGTAGAGTCCTACATAGAATGAGTATGTAGGACTCTATATAGACTCGTGTAGAGTCCTACATTGACTTCTATGTAGACTTCTCATGTGAGAACCTCATGTGACTTCTATGTAGAGTTACTACATAGAATGAAGGAGAACCAGCACTGTTACACAACAGAAATCCACATAAGCACCCTACCTCTTCTGTGTTCAGTATAAACAATTTTAGAGATTATATAGTGATAGATACTCTCGGGTAGTCAGCAATTGGAATGCATTTAAGGAGAAGTTTTTGAAGCCATATCCATCCACAACTTGAAGAAAAAATACAATGAAAACGTTAATGTTAAGAGAGGTAATTAGCAAGTTGGGTATAAATGGCTAGGAGGTAGAGCAAAAAAAGCTAAATATCTTCCCTATAATTACTGATAGGTAAGCACCATTCATTATTATTTTTTATGTATTTTTCATTAATTTTAATAACAAATTGATTAACATTTTCCCATTTAAATATAATACATCTGGAAGCTGGTCTATATGGGTTTTCAGTATGGAAACTGGATGTACTCGCTGAAAATATACTGCTCACACATAGCCATAATAATAGAATTACTGTACTTGGAGGTGTTGCTTATAAATAAATTCTTCATTGTCAAAAGTACTTGAAGATATTGAATGAAGTTAAATTTGTTACTTCCAGTTCCAATTGCACGGTGAAGAGTGATGTGCTGTGCCTTGGCAACCGAGTGTTTCCCAAAAAATTACCGTGCAATTGGACCTCCGGATACAAATGGTCCACAGCATTGTTGCTATCCATTACTCTTGGAGGTTTTGGGGCAGACAGGTAAGCAAGTGGAAAGCCACATATATATTCCTAGATAGCATGAAAATTATGCATAGATAATGCAAAAAAAAAAAAAAAGTAAAATAGCTAGGGGATGGAAAACTTTGTTTTTTTTGTAGAATGTAGTTGGGTACAATAGGGATAAGGTCTCTAGCAGCAACGTCAGTGCAGCTAGTAAGTACCTCTACATCCACACACTACCTTCGACCAATCGACAAGCCGAACAGGCTGACAGATTTTACCCGACGGCCACTAATACCAGTGGCCTCGAAGAGAACAGGAAGCTAATAGCATGTCAATGCTAAATGTACAAGTCTCTGAGAGCACAGCATTGTCATTATCACCAGTTCACCCCCACCAACAGCACCATAACAGAACAGCTAGAAGCAGCACAACCTCTGCCAACTGACATACCTGCCTTCTGGAGCATACCTGGAGAGGGTTTCAGGAGTTTTTCTGCTCCCTGAGGCCACGCTCCACACCTTCGACCTTGTTGATCAATTTATATTAAGCGTGGGAGTTGTCTTGCATTTGGAAGATAGGCTTAATGAAGACATGAAAATTAATTACTGTTGGAAGAAGAGGCAGGAGAAGGTGGGTTACAACTTGCCATAAATGTTGTCTTGCTAGTACTGGGACCTAATTTATTGTTTATAGTCCTAAAAATCAGATCGGAGAGAGCCACTGCTGTGGCTCTCTCTCAGTATATATAACTCGATACGTTCTATATATATACAGTATATATAAACTAAATATGTTATATAGTGATGTGATATAGTATTCAAAATTTGTATGAATTCACCAGAAGTCTGTGTTTACACTTTTATGTAACAAAATTATCGGTCTCTTGCTCTGCAAAAACCTAGTATTGTACAAATTAGCGTTTAGTTTGAAAAATATATATAGGCCATTAGCCAAAAATTTATTAAAGCATATTTGTATTTTCACTCTAGTCAACTAATTTAGTGACTGATTTTTAGAATCATGGCTAAATACAGTCTTTTAGTTCTTTATGTCTAGTAAAAATTTAATCCAAATTTAATCTTCAAATCAATGTTATTTTTATGATATTTATCCTGTCAGGTTTGACAACAAACAGTATTCATTACTTTGTGTATTGCAATTATCCAGTGTCTTTGTTTTAAATATTAAGGAATTTAGGCACAATCAGACAATTATAAAATAAAATATAGAGTTGTTTAAGAACTTTGTAAATACAGTATATTTTTGCAAACATATGTTCCATTCACCTGGGCTGTATGGGTCTCAAAGTTTGGATCCCATGCGTGTGAGGTCGACGCTCTATCAACTGGGCTATGAGCAGTCTTAAACACACATAAAGGAAAGTAGTTTTTCCTTACACGCGTGGGGTCCATGGTTCGAGACCCATATAGCCCAGGTGAATGGAATGTTTATTTCCACGGAATTGTGGATGACAATTTAGACGAATGTTCTATTAATTGCTTAAATAAAATAACATTGTCTTCAAAAAATTGTGAAAATGCCAATGTCTTGCTTCAGCAATAATTCCAATGCAATGGAAGCCCTTTGAACCAGTTGATTACTTGAAGTTGGACATCACTATAAAGTAATTTTTGTGGTTCTGAATTTTCATATTTATTTCAGATTTTATTTGGGCCACTGGCAAGAAGGAATAGGGAAGTTATTTAGTTTTGGTGGCCTGGGCGTGTGGACCATCATCGATGTCATTCTCATCGCCATCCGCTACCTGGGTCCAGCGGACGGCTCACTCTATATATAAGGTTATATAGTGATGTGATGATGGTACAGGTGAGTGCAATGTATAACTACTTTTAAAATTTGAAAAATATTTAGGATAAAGTATTATTTAGGCTACTTAGTCTTCCCAGATTTATGCCTTCTTTTGATAATTTGTGAATTTCTCTTTATAATGTAAGAATATGTTGTCTTCACATTTTGGTAGCTACTGTATTAGTAATTTTGCTGCACTTTCGCAATAAACTCTAGTAAGAATGGCACTGCCATAATCATGTTATGTTTATATTAATGTAAAATTAGTCATTAAAATGTACAACCTTAACCCCTACACTGCTCACCTGTTTATAGCTGATAAATTTTTTATTTCTAATCTTGTTAAAATGCACCCCCTTTATCACGGGGAAAATAATACAAAAAGTTTGTCGCTGGTTGTAGTGGCGCGCAGGAAAGCTTGTGATGACTTCACAGTTCACAAGTGTTCATGGAGCAATCGCCCTGAAGCGGTCGCCCCAGGCTAGGCTTTAAGCACGAATTGTCGTGAATATATTTTACGTATTTATTTCAATGTCACTGATTTTTTGCAGTAATATGTGTCAATTGAGATACAGTATTTATGTAATAAAATGTGTTAAACATCGGTATACAGTACTCATATATACCCGGTATATGTCGCCAGTATGGGCACAATATTATTAGAACAATATAACAAATCGTTTTTGCTGTTATTACACTGACTATACATATTATATATAATTATCTACATTTTTATAATAATAATAATAATAATAATGGTGTAAATAATCGTGTTGAGGGACAGGTGGCTAGTGTATATACACTTGTTGGGCTTCCTATGGTCAAATTACTGACCCTCACCAGGATGCAATCCCGTTACTTAGGGGGAATGAACCCATTCACCATTACTAACCAGTTCTGGTGGCTGTAATAATCTTGATCAGAACAAGTGATCAGAGTTCAGCCTAGCCTCGCCTATTTTGCATGAATTTGTAACTGCATGCATTAAATATATTATATTTTCTTCCTTGTAAAAAATCATTGTAAAATAAATATTTTGCAATTAATTTTTTAAAGTGTAATGATGCATTGGGCTGTCAATAATGTTATTTGTATCATGCAGACTAGGAGTCACAATAACGTGGCTGAAATATGTTGACTAAACCACACACTTTCCAAACCACACCACAAGCCGTCCCTTCACTCTCTAGTGTGTGGTTTGGTTAACATTTGTATCATAGAATGTGTAGAATGTAGGTATGCACAGATTACAGTATTCGTGTAACTAATGTGTGCACAGTATTATATTCTTTGAATAATAAAGCATACTGTTTTTGCTGTTATTACTCTGTATTTATACATGTTAGGTGTACACAATACAGGGCATGAGTTTGCGTATGTGTGGCATGCCCTGTGGAGGGTCCAACTTACTCCAGGCTGCATGCTCTGGCTCACACTGACTGCTACCCTGTGATTCATTGTCTGAACTGAGTGGGAAGGGTCTAAACAGATTTCCCTATGGAGTTGGACGCTTCATGAAATCAAGTCGCATATGACTTGATGATGGTCTTAGACAAACCGAAACGTAGTCGTTTCTTCATCTTCTGCTATGGTTTGGTCATATCTTTAGCCACATTATTGTGACTCATCATCTGCTTCATGAAACTCTTCTTCTGGCTATTGGGGGTTTTGTCCTTCATGCAGTTCATGTGTGGGATATGTCCAGCATTTTTATGGATGGATTATCTTCCTTGTGTCCCATTTCCACAGAGCAGTTGACAATATGTCCTTTTGGCTTTGCAAGACGTTCGGTCACAAAGAAGTGGACCTCTTTGCATTGGCATGGCATTGTTGCCATCCCACCTGTATGGCTTCATTACCTAATTGCAAGGCTCACATTGTGGATGCCTTTCAGCTGGACCGATCAAGGTGGGGTGCATTTACCTTTTTACCCTGGTTTGGTTATTATTCTGGGTGCTTCCAGACTGGAGTTGTACACCTGCTGTCTCCTTGGTGGCCAGCTCGGCCTTAGTTTCTGGCACTTCTAGCCAGGTGTTCAAACCCAGGTGTTTTTCTGCAACTCCATCCCTTTCAGCAGATTAGTTGGACTGATCTCTGACTGACCTCTGCTCTGTGTATCTGGTCTATTACCATTTGTATGACAAGCAGGTGGCTGGGCTGTTGGTGTCCCACCTGTGTCTTTCTTCATGGCAGCAGTACGAAGTTGCCTGGCACTCATTTTGCCTTTTTCTGTGCCTTCATTTTCTTCTGTTTTTGTCAGTGGTCCTACATTTTTCCTTGATCATTTCACGATTAGCATTTCATGCATATGATACTGGTCGAGCCGCTGTTTTATGTGTTTGGCGTCAACACTTCATTGATGCCATTCTGCAATTGTCTTGTTTGTTTTCTCACCTCTGACCTGCTAAGCTCCTCCTGAGCTTCACCTTCGGCTCATGATGTCTTTCTTAAAGTTGTGTTCTTGTTGACCCTTGTCAACAAGAACACCAAAGTCCTGGTGATCCTTGTTCTTGTCTCGGGGCTTGACAGCTGAGTAGACAGCGCTTCGGATTCGTAGTCCTGAGGTTCCAGGTTCAATCCCCAGTGGAGGCGGAAACAAATGGGTAGTTTTTCACCCTGATGCCCCTGTTACCTAGCAGCAAATAGGTATCTAGGAGTTAGACAGCTGCTACGGGCTGCTTCCTGTGGATGTGTAACAAAAAGGAGGCCTGGTCGAGGACCGGGCCGCGGGAACACTAAGCCCCGAAATCATCTTGAGATAACTTACAAGATGCCATTATGATGTCATTTTTATCTAGGCTCAGGTTTTAGATTCTTCTGAATTATTGTGCATTGGGATGTTACTGAAATGAAATAAACATATTTGAAAGTAAATTTATGTTTTTTGTTAAAATTTGAGACAATTTTCCTTTCTTTCAGTTTTTGGGATGGAGTAAGGCCAAGTGTTATCTGTTGGTATAGGTAGGTGTTATAGATAGATGGCCCTCATTGTATGAATGCTGTTGAATGGACGTAGATTCAAAACTCATTACTACTGTATTTCAGTTATTTTTCATTTGTACTTATTTCATCTAATATTGTGCAGTATACATTATGTACAGTGCATGTTAATTAAGCTGCTGTCTCACCTCTCTAGTACATGAAATTTTTGTTCAAGTATCATTTCAGAAAAATTAATGTTTTATATTTCATAAATGGTATGTGCCCATATTTGAAAATACACATTTATATATTTATATAAATTCATGTTTGTATACAGTAGTATACAGTAATTAAGCTTAAGTATTTCTATGTATCTACTCGCCATAAAAATTACATTTATCATACGTTTTTAATCATATTGACCCATTGTAGCAAATTACATCACCACCGTAATATAATACTGTATTCATATTTGCTTTATAAAAAATAATTGCCCTAGATATTGATAACGTATGAAAAAATTCACACCAGTAAGGAGAAATAACTAATAGTGTAAAATCCTTTACGTGAGCAGATATGTGACTGATGGCTCGTCTTACAATTATGAGAGTACAGTACTTACAGCAACAATTAAAAATAGACCGTTGGACCCAAAAAGGTTTTTGTATTAATAAATTAACCCAAAGAGCATACTAAAAAAAATGGGAGTGACTAAAGAACATAACCTAACCAAACCTGGCCTACGCCTAATTGTACCTGTACCATACTGGGCCTATTTTTCTTTTGTTTTTTGCTTTCACAATTTGTACTCTAATTTTGTAGAATATTGTTGGTTGAAATAGACCATTTGTACACGATCGGTCAGTATTACGTTATGATTTTATAAGCATGCGTTGGTGCTATATGGTATCACTATAGGAGAAAATCGGGGTATACATTGTTGACCTTTGGGGAATTATTTCACGGAATACTTTTTGTTTTAAAATAAAACATGATGAATACCTGTAAATTTTTGTAATAAAACAAAAATGTTTTAAATAATTAAATTTGTACTTTTACCTGTCAGTGATTACAGGCGAGTTAGATCTAGCTCTTTATACCCTCTCCTAGCCGTTTATTCCTGGTACACTAATTACGGCATTAACATTTTCATCATATATTTTTAGTTGTGGATGGAATTGACTTAAACAACCTGTTCCTTCAATAAATTCCACCTGTACAAGTAAATAGAACTTCCTTACATCTCTTTGACTTGGTTACATGTCCAGCTTCCACCTGTTCCCATGTCATTTAAATAGGCTATGAATAATGTACAGCACTCTTATTGCAGTAGTGACGATAATCAAAGGGTAATTTATGTTTTTAGCTCCCTATTTGGCTGTGAAGCTATGCAGAGTTTGCAGAGGGGTCAAGGAGTGTGGTTAGATCAAATTCAGAGGCAAGAAACATAGGGCAACCAAGATGAATCCCAAGAGTTTAGCGTTACCCTTGTACAAAAAGTGGATTTCCAGAGACAATAGGGTGACAAGGAATGACATGCCTCAGAATAAGGAGAGACCTTGAAGCCATGATTAGTACGACAAGTTATCAATGGCAACCTGGAGCTGGTATAGGAGATAAAGGAATTTGCCTTGGCAACAGCAGTAAGAGAGATTGTCAACATAAATGGCAGAATAAATGCCATGGGGAAGGAAGATCATTTAAGGCTTGGGGGGGGGGGGGACAGTAGTGCTTAGACCACCACCTATGAGAACATCATCATATTACTGCAAAGACAGAAAAAGCAGTATCAAACCTCACTTGAACTTTTCTGCTGTGTGTATCATACATGTATGCTTTTGGGCTAACTGACTACACTGCAAGTCATACCAGACTCAAAGATGACCATGTTGAAAACGTGTTTAAAAATAAAACAATGGCACGACTGTGATGAAAGAAAATATTCAATTGCAAGTAATTTAGCAAGAAAATTTCTGTTCACATTTGGTTGTGGGGGTTTAATGCTGCAAGTAATTCATTGTTAAACTATTTTTATTTAACCTGCCCCCCCCCCCCTCCTTGCAAACATCTCTTGAGGTTAAAATTAACCAAATTATCACCTCAAAACAAATGGTGATGTCTTTGCAGCAAAGCACAAGGGATTGCATTGATAATTTTATTTTCCAGAATCAAGTTAAATTTATTTCTAAATGAGGTTGAGCTTGGGGCATCTTATTTTATAATTAATCATACATTTTATTGCACTCTTCATACTATATTTAAACCTCAAATTTCAAACGAAAACAAAATTAAAACAATTCTTACTTTTTTATATATAATTACTGTAATTGTTTATGACACTGGATTTTTTTAAAACGAGTGAATTTTCCAAGTGTAAAAAAATATATTTTCTCCGAGTTTATCTTCTGCTTTGAATTTGATGGCCCCCCTACCCTATGAAAAGTAGGAAATGGAATGATGATATAATAATTATACATTTTTTGTGTTTCCACGTTGGTTTTCATATTTGAGTGGGACTGCAATGAAAATAAGATATTCAACAACAGTTTAATCTTCAAAAATACTTATCTGTCATTCTCATAGGCATTGTTTGGAACACACTACCATGGCCAAACATGTGTATATTTACATAAAACTTTGTCCACAAAATTAAAGCCATTCATGTAACATTAATTTTCTTAAAAAACCTTTGTTTAAAATGCATCAAACATGTTTATTTGATATCGACAGTGAATTAAGAAGAAATTGGAGTATAAACATCTAATAACACCTATCAATGAGTTGGCATTAAAAAAATTTTAGGTTTAACTTATGCATTGATTCTTTAAGAAAATGACTGTCAAAGATGGAACAATGTAACTGCGAACAGTTAACTTGGGTGCAGACGCCAACTGTAAAATATAAATTTTTAAACATTTAAATACAGTCAACAGAAGTCAAAAGTATATTTTCCAGTCTTCAGGCAAGACAAGAATAGGAAGATTTTCCAGCCAATGGTATAAATACAATCATGCTTGTGTTGTAGAAAGGGGCTACAAAACATCGCACTTCATAAAACAAAGAAGAGAAGCTATCACCTTGGGTTACACCTGGGATGACAATTGATTTGAACTGTCCCCAAATTTTATTTAAGTTGAAGACTCCTATAAAGAGGTCAAATTCGGTTACAAGCTCAAAATTTACTTTGGCATCATATTTGTCATGTTAGCTTGATACTAAACTCATCTTCCTAAATGTATTAATTAAATTATGCAGACTTCTATGCATTACAAATTGAAACTTGCAAGCACACTGTAATTACAAAAAATACTGTAGAGTTCAAACTATCGGTAATTAATGCACGTCATTTTAATAAGTTATATTGATGTCTTCAATTATTGAGGGCATTCTGTTAGTAAGATGGATTTTATTTATTTACATAGCTATTACTGTATGGGTACTAGGGCTGGACAATGGCTGTTCATTTCAGATATGTATATACTGTGATACACAAATATCAACAAAGATACCTATTGATTATACACCTTAATATTTTGTAAACAGTATAAGTTAGTTTGTATGTGACATACATGCCAAGAAATATGGAAAAAGCAAAAATACATATACAAACAACGCTCATATAATGTAACACCTCTGCAAGTCTTGTCGACTCGTCCCCCTTCCCTGGGAAGTACAATGAAAGGGGTGAAGTGATGTTCAGGCAAGTCTACAGTAATGTATGTGGGATAGAATGAATGCAGAATAAGAGTGCACGCACACACGGTGCAAGAGTTCGTGTGTGAGTGAGAAGGCAGAATTACACTTTGCTAGAATGGACAGGCTAGCATGCCATGAGTGTGTGGCATAATAGTGCATGAAATTTAAATTTTTGGCCACAATGAAAACTACCATATACAAGGATCGACTGTAATACATAAAGAAACGTGACCATTTCGTAAAGTATGAACAATCAAATTTTACACTTGCATAAATATGATTAATAATGACAATGAATAAAATTATATTTTCCACTTAAGTAAATATTGTTCATAGCTTTATGTGGTCCAATACCATTTAATGTGCATAAATGTTGGTTAAAAACTGTCATATTAGAACAGCATTTAACTTGTGTAGCATCAGACATGAAATATTGCTATCACTTTACTGGTATGTCAATCCAGCCCTAACCAGTACACAGTCCTGGATTTTAGCCATGTCTCTTGTTATGAAAACTGGTTGTTTAATATGACTGAAAATGTTGTGAAATACATTTGTAGTAATAAAGATTGTGCTCTAATTCGCTAAACAATACACAATTTTAAGAGCCAAACTTAAATTATTTCTTTTTCAACTATATTTGATGGAACAAAATATTTCAAAATTTATAACTAATACCACCTCATGATAATGAAACTAATGTTGGAGACATTAAATATGCTAGTCGATGCAACACAATTTTACAACAAAAATTATATGAAAGAAAGATAGGCAGAAGGCATAGTCTGGAGCTTCTGTAACAATGTACAAATGTAGTACAGTACTGTACTACCATTTATATCCCATTGATTATACAGCTACAAACAAATAAAAATAAAACTTGTATAGCATAAACGAGGGAAGAGGCAATTAACCCTCAAACCGCTAGGGGCCCAAATGGAATTCACACCCACAGGCGCAACAAAAAAAACAAATTCCAAAAAATTCTTTCGTCTTATAGAAGTGTTCATTTTTGTTCCCTGATCACGGAAAAAATAACAAAAAAAATCATAGGTGGCATATTTTAGCCGCAATAGGGTAGGGAAGTGTGGCAAAAAGGGGCGTTGACAAAGCCTTCGCCAGATGAGGTCTACTCCGCCCGAGCTGTCAGACGGCAGTTGCCACAAATATATTATTACCTAATTATTTCAATGTCTCTGATTTTTTCTTAGTTTTTTTGCAGTAATATTATTCCATACAGTGAATTGTGGTATATTTATATTATAAAATGTGTGAACCATCGCTGTACTCAAAATTATGGTGTGCATATTAGTGATTCAATTATGTTCATAAAACAATAAACAAATAGTTTTGCTGTTACACTATATACACAGGTTATATATAAGTATTTGCATGTTTTGTACACCATAACGAACTACTAAGTTGGTCTTGCGAGTCAAAAAGCAACGAGGAGTGACCGCCAAACACCAGCGAGCCACTCACTGCCACTCCCTCCCTCAACACCACCTCACTCACCCTCATTCACCTTCTACAATACTCTTTCTGTATTTATTCACTATACACAGACGTTATATATACGTATTTACATGTTTTGTTCACCATAACTGTACATCTAAGCTTGTATGGTGAGTAAAGGCCACAAAGACGTAGCTACTCACACAGTCAGCTGATCGGCGGCTGCCCTCAAGGCCAGACGCACTAATATTTGTCCTTCAACAATATTGTTTGTGGTGTTATTACGCTATATACACATATTATATATAAGTATCTGTTTTATTCACCATACCTGAACAAATAAGCTGGTATGGTGCCCAAAGACCATAGTGGCCATCAGTGAACACCATGCCAAGACGTGCAGACGACGCTCCTCCCTCACCAAAATGGCGGCTCCCAACCTACTCCTCTCGCTGTTATCACACTCTATACACACGTTATATATAAGTATCTACATTTGTGTTCACCATATCGAACCACTAAGCTGGTATGGTGAGTGCAGTCAATAAATGGTGGCCACACACAGTCAGAAGACGATGCCACAACCCTCCCTCGCACAGCCTTACGCCTCCCTCCATGGAGCACAGCGCTAAATATCACCACAATCCTGCTATTATCAGAATCCTGGTCAGTTTTATCACAGTCAGGGGGCTTCAGTAATACTATCACTGCTAAATAATGGCAGTATCATATATATTATGGTATTTGTAGGCGATGCTGTGGTCACAAGCTGAACAGCGGTACTGTGAGCTCGTGCTGCGTGCGCCAGCCTTGGTGGCTTGCTCAATACTGATGCTGTAACACCAAAGAATGTTGGCCTGGATTTTTTTTCTAGGTGGCATCTGGCAACTATCGGTCGTGGCTGTACTATCGCTGCCCCTATCCCAGGCGGGGAGTTTAAATTATAGCGCTAGACACGAAATCATATATAAATGATGTGCGCGGTTTCGGTTTTGTCACCGATATCATTTATATATGATATGCGCGGTTTGAGGGTTAACAAGCTGACCTGATAAATATATCCAGTGATGTATAAACACTCATAATAACTTACAAAGAATAAATTTCCAAGGAAAGATAATTTTGCAGCAACTGACTTGAAAATCCAAAAGGACAAGTCAAGACCTGATAAAATAGAGCAATGTAAAAAAGAATGCACTTCTAAATTTGTCATGTTACTAGAGAATTTAGCCCAAATTACATTCAAGCCACAAAAAATATTACATTGGCCTCTTCATAAAGACAATCCCCAGGTGTAATTGAAGCAACAGAATGGAAAGGTGCGATTCTGAACCGCAGAGATTGACTAGCAACAGAACATTCGCACATGTTTACGATGGCAAAACAAGTGAAACTTTAAAAAGATCAATGGCTTTCAGTGATGTCAAACCAATAATTAAATTATAAGTTTAAATTATGGAAATGCTTAAAAATGAGGCCACAGTTACACTGGGAAAATGGACAAGAGAACCACCTGTACCAAATGGCCAGAAAACTTCCAGACATACATTATCCGGTATACAATACAGATAAATTCTTGATTAAATGCTGATAACATACAATTCCTAGGTTTTAAGTTCAGCTATTCCCCTTCAGTTTACACTTTTTTGAACTATTTACTCAATGTAGAGACAAACATGACATTAACTTGGGACAGCTGATCTTAAATCCAAAAGGACTTTCACATTCAAATCATAGGTCATAAAATAATTCATAAATATTATGGAGCTGACCACCGACAACATGAACTGCAGTGCAAAATCCAAGAAATGACAAAGAATATACATTTCAGCAGCAAAACATAATTAAACTACATTTTTAATATCACCGGATTACTGCAGCCTTTCTGCTGTGGTTGCTCTGACAATGGAGCAATACACAATTCTCCTCAACAGCTTGAGGCTAGCTCACTACAAGGACACTTCTCTTTATAGGTCAAAGCTTCTCAGAAGTTGACCATTAAGTATAGGATTGTTCTAATGATAATTAAAATTCAGGTCACATTATCACAAGCAGTGATTCTCGTATTTTGACACGCTATCCTGTTTTTTTTGGCAGAAAACTCATAAAAGAACACATTCCTTAGAGCGCTTCGTTTTGGTTCTAAAACTCGGCAACTCTCCTCTCCAAACATTTTACATATTCGTTCTTCTTTCTTCAGCATTTTTTGCTACAGTCCTGGAACAGTGACCTATTATTGGTCACTCTTGGGGTAATCTAGGAATGCAGGATTCCTTAGTTGCCTCTTCGAATAAAAGATGTGGAGGGACTCGAAACACTGCATTATAGCTCTGCCAATACAACATTCATTTCCAAGTCATAAAATCTGTGCATTGTATATCACAATTTTTTTAGTTTTTTTGCTTTAAAAACATAGCCAACAGCTGTCCAACCATCAACTGAATAGCTTAGTTAAGCAATAACACTTAAACAGTTTAGTAAACCATCAACCATCTTGGGCACTCAAGAGACTATTACTCTGTAGGATTCCAAGGTGTGAACATGAGCTGTGTGTGTGAGCTTAGTTTTCAGTGAAGCACAGCTAAGCCTTATTGAGAGACTATAGCACTACCTCATGCTTCACCACTGCAGAGAGTAACCTGTGCCATCAACATGGCAACTTTATTTACGCTCTGGTATCAACTATTTTGACAGTACAACGCTTTCAATGTTTTGAGTTCCTCTATCAATGCTTTATTCTGGTTCTCCAACACTGCTACTCTATTCTCCAAACATTTAATGTACTCTTTCTTTTTGGCTCTACATTCTCTTGCTGCTTCCCTGGAAAAACACAATGCCAATTATTAGCAAAAGGTAGAAAGTTATGAGAATCTAGTACTCTCCTTCAATTTACTCATAATGTGCATTACATGACCCACCTACGTATGTTTTTACCATAGCCAATGAAGGGTTCTTCCTGTGCCAGGCATCTCACAAAGAATATGAATATTTATAAAAATGCTCTCCCCCTAATATTTCAGATAAGAATTATGCATAGTTTGTAATGAGTACAGATAATATAAACACAGTACAGGGAATTCAAAATTTTTTGCTATGCTAGTGTAATGGTGAGTGGGAGATGGGTGTGTGCTTACCAATGACTAGTGCTCACTTATTAATATCTGAACACTGTACATAGGCTATTTATGGTCAGGATCATCTATGATACTATCACTGAAAATAATTTAAGTTACTTAATCATTTTTAAGTGATGCTGAGGACACGAGCTGAACAGTGGTGCTCTTAGCTCGTGCCCACAAGGAATATTACCTGTTTTTCATAAGCCTTATCTCTCGTTTCCGTGAAGCCTCTTCTGCCATTTGGTCACTTGATCCGTGCACACCGGAAGAAGCTGTTGTTGCTAAAACAACACCTTGTGTTAGGCCACTGCTGCTGGTGGCAATCTTTAGGCCACTTAGGTCACTTGCTGCAACTGTTAAAAGATAAATATTTATCAAAAAGCATATCAACAATACCCTGGCATTTACATAATATATTAACAGTAGTTTGAAAGGACCTTATATGTATGTGGCTGCAAAGAATGTATGATCACTGTACTAGAGCAATATCAACGACATTCCTATATGCAGAGCCCCGTCTCCCACTAACCTTAAGGGTGCCTTACATGGCCACCCTCCCCCCCCAACTATAGAGAGAGTGCACGTAACGTCACGCTTTGTTGACGTCGCCATACTGCTGGTCAGCTCATGCCGACCTGCAGACGACGATCCACTTCTTCTCTATGCACACCTCTATAAAACAATAATGTCTGATACTTGCTGCACTGTGAAATGTTGCAATACACTTCATAGGTCAACTGGTTTGACATTTTATCAGATACAAGCTTAGAAGAGAGAAAGTGCTCATCAAAACAAACTGACTTGTGTATATATATATATACACATAGTATTCACTTTTCTCTCGGTTTAGACCTTACAAAAACGATAATGCCCAATACTAGTGCAGCAGGACATTAGATTAAACGTAACTAGTTGCCCAGTGTGTCAATTTAGCGGATATAAAACACTTAAGGGCAAACTGATATCAAATCTACCAAGACCTATTACATGGACCATACTCAGTTGAAAAGCTTGAATTGAAAATGATACAATTTTAAACTTCTTAATAACAAAACTACATATTTAACATGACACTTTCTGCACCTGTGACAACAAGCATTAACTTACAGAGGTGGAGACTAATGCATCGGCATACTATTGTGCACATACTGCTCTGTCAAGCTCTACACTTGCAGTATTTTTTCAGTAGAGTATCAGTACAATTTTAGCTGATAGCATGATCCATTAACCTGAACTTGACAAGTACAGCACTTCTAATATCATACACAAACTTGTGCTTTAGTAACTGTCAAAAAGACTTGGCATATATTTCACTAAGAGAAAATATGCATCCCCTGAAGATTTACAGCAACAAAATATAGAAAGTTAACTTTTCCTTCAAAATATAGTGTTTGTCTTGGTATAATTTTTTTTATTTCTCTCCCCATCCCACCCAAGCTATCTTGAGGTTATCTTGAGACGATTTCGGGGCTTAGTGTCCCGGCAGCCCTGTCCTCGACCAGGCCTCCATCCCCAGGAAGCAGCCCATGCCAGCTTACTAACTCCCAGGTACCTATTTACTGCTAGGTAACAGGGGCATCAGGGTGAAACATTTTGCCCATTTGCCTCCACCGGGGATCGAACCCAGAACCTCAGGACTACGAATCTGAAGCACTGTCCACCCAGCTGCCAGGCGCCCTAAACCAGTGTTGCAGTGCAACCAAAAATTATAAATGGTTAACTTACCAGTTATGATGACATCATAACATTTCATTAATGCATCATTGATGCCAATAACAAAGTAATGTAGCTGATTATGTTAAACTACACAACTTTGGTGTGGCACTATAAACCAATGCCTTGAATCTAATTATGAAAAATTTGCAGGCAACTTATAAAGCTTTTATACAGTGGAAACTTTAAAATCAAGATCTCTAATATAATGAAGCCCTTGGAAATTTTGAATGATACAAGACCTAGAACAGAGAATGACGGTTCAGGAGACACCACGAGGCACAGGTGGAATCTGAATTTCCATGCGAGTCACAGATACATCAGAAAGAATTTTTCCAGCGTCAGTAGTTAATGCATTATGGAATACATTAGGTAGTGATGTGGTGCAGGCTGACTCCATACACAGTTTCAAATGTTGGTATGATAAGAGCTCAATAGGCTTAGGAACCTTTACGCCAATTGAGTAACAACCGAGAGGCGGGACCAAAGAGCCAAAGCTCACCCCCCCCCCCTCAAGCATAATTAGGTAAGTATGCCATCTAATCCTTTAACTGAATGGACATTGTAATTTAAAGCAAAAGAATTGTTTTCTTGTACCTTATTTTTTGTATCCAATCTTATGCCTTTTGTACTGTACTTGTACTGTACAATAAATCATGCAATACAGTTGAACTTTCTCTTAGTGGACTGCTCACTATTACTCTACCAACACTAGACATGTACTGGCAATGTGACCTCCCACCACCACAAGGAGGCCTGGTCGACGACCGGGCCGCGGGAACGCCAAGCCCTGAAATCATCTCGAGGTAGGTAACCTCCTGTATACAGGTCCTACTTTATTCTTCCTTGAGGATATTTTAATCATATTTTTGGGGGTAATTATTTGTGTGTAGAGAATTGTAATTGTCAGCAGTCAGGCTAAACTAGATACAAGAAGAGAATCTTACTACAGTCATAAAGACTAAACATACAGAAAACTGATCGTGGCTGGGAGATGATTTTGGTGTTGTCATTGGCACCTTATTTTACACAAGAGAGCCTTGGAGGGAGGGATTTCTGGTGGCAACAATTGAAAGAAAAATGCTCACAGGGCTCATATTCCTGAGCATAAGGCTGAACAAGAAAAAATGCAGTATCATTTATATTATTACAATTAACAAAGTATCTTTTTTTTTGTTAATTATGCTATTCATAATTAGCTAAGTTAGTTCAATCACTTATTATTTGAAATCTGGAAATCACCAAAATTCAAAATAAATTTGGCACTAGTCTAGATTTTTGAGGTTCCAACGTACTGTATAGTGTTTTGAAGTACAGTAATTAATAACACGATATATATTCCCAGCTACCTGGTATGGGGTATCTCTTATTGCACTCCATTTTGTATACAAAAATGTTAATGCCTTATTAACACACAACATAACTTTACCCATCAAACATAATAAGACTTCACATTTTGCACAGCAAACCAAGAAGACCTTGCCAAACCGTAACATTTTAATTTAAACAAAATATAAAACAACTCTTTTAAAATATCTGAGCGGACTAATTATCAATTACTAACATTCACTAACCCTGGTGCACTCTCTATATCTCTGCCCCCTTTATGTCTTCCAACTCCTCCATAGGTGGCCACTTTACCTCACCTCTACTTCCTCCTTAATCTCATCATCATCTTCCCCTTGTGTATCTCACCCTAACCCCTACTACAATGCTCATCTCTAGAAACTCCTCATAATTTAAACAATTATAATGTACACAAATAGATGCATATAAAAAAAACAGCAAGTGTGCTTTAATTCAATTTTTTAAAGTGTCAACAAATATATTCAATTATAAAAGGAAAATAGTGGAATGATGTTGATTATGCTATACTGTATAATTAAAATCTGATTTGCACAACATATTATTCATAATACAGACAGCCACGTGCTTTACGAATGCATTTTTTCTGAAAATGTATGTTTTACGATTCGGGTTCGTTCGGATAAATAAAGTTTGAAAAACTGGTGGGGGCAGTTATTTCTGAATAAAAATGTGCAATAAGGTAGGAATTAATTTGTTCAGTGACTGTACAGTGCCACTTGAGCCCTGTTCATACACTAATGGATGCCTCAGAAGCTTTAAATTCTGCCATGGCATTAGGTACATTAGAGAACATGGTGAAAAACAGTCTGCTGAGGTTACCCCATCACTATTAATCTCCACTTCAGTCTACCCAACACACTTGGCATCCACCACCACCTTTTTTATCTACATAACAATGCTCCGTCTACTATAATCTTCAAGTTAACAAGTGGATCAGAACTTCTCATATTGACGAGTACAAAACACTGTCAAATTTCTGCAACAAAATTGTCAATTTATTTCCCCTAGCTTTCCAGCATGACCAACTACTTATCCAAACACACTAGGTTATCTGCTCACTTTCAGTCCCGAGACGTTCGAAAAGCACATGACTGTAGTTCTAACAACAGTGAATATGAACTGATAGTAAATGAATGCCATCTTTTCTTTCATACAAAATTCATGCAACACAACATACAGTACAGATTTTATTTATTTCACACAGAATACAGTGTGTACAGTTTGTGTACAACGAACAGGAAATAAGAGTAGACACCTGCAGCATTTGAAGCAGGAGGAGCAGTGTGATCCAGATTACTATGAAGAGTTACTTAGTTGAAAGGCGAGCTTTACGTCAAGAGGACGAATGGTATAGCAAGATTTTTTTTTTTTAGTTCAGGTATGAAGGAAGGGCAAAGCACAGTGGTACTAGTGTTGGAAACAGGTTTGGGATGAAAGAAACTACCTTTAGCTTGAGAATAGGCACAGTTGATAAAATGTAAGGGATATCCAAGGTGAGAGAAAGACATGAAATAAGGACTTTCCAAATCAAGAAAATGATGGGTCACTGATGCATAGAGCACGTAGGAAGAGAGACGAGAACACTTCTTAACAGGAAAAGTATGGTAGGAAAAGAAGTGAATGTATATACCACAATGCATGGGTTTACCATAAACACAGAGAAACATGACACAGCTGTGAACATAAACGTCAGGGGAAAGAAAGGAGGGAATTAGATTCCCATTCAACTTTTGAAATTGATAGGAGCCAGATTGTTAAGACAGGAGGAAAGGCTGGAAAAGATTAGGATCACGAGGCCATTGAGCAAAAATGTCATCAACATAGTGAAGCCAGAAAGAGGCACGAGCCAAAAATTAGGAGTGTCAACAGAAGGCCACAGAGCATACAGATAGTCACCAATTTGAATGTTTTTGAGAGCACCAAATCAGTATTACACGAGTAAGTACAGTACTTGTATATCAATCTCCAAACAGCATGGGCAAATTGACAGTACACAAGTAAAGTAAATTTATGTAGATACTCTTAATCTGCACTCATCCACAGATTTACCACATTCTTCGCAGTGTGCCGAGATTCAATAATGGGAAGAACACTTCTTCCCACCATTGAAACATCCCCTTTCACATATATGTTATCACTATTGATACAATCTCAACTGTATCAGTCTAGTGATATGATTATATCACTATTGATAAAATCTTTTCTCCTCTCCCTCCCCCTTTCACATACACACAGCCCACATCAAAAGAATAACATCAGCGGCCTATGCGAGGCTGGCTAACATCAGAACTGCTTTCAGAAACCTGTGTAAGGAATCCTTCAGAACCTTGTATACCACATATGTAAGGCCAATCCTGGAGTATGCGGCCCAAGCATGGAGTCCGTACCTAGTCAAGCACAAGACGAAGCTGGAAAAAGTTCAGAGGTATGCCACTAGCTTAGTCCCAGAACTAAGAGGCATGAGTTATGAGGACAGACTACGTGAACTGGACCTCACATCGCTGGAAGACACAAGAGCTAGGGGAGACATGATCACCACATACAAAATTCTCAGGGGAATTGACAGGGTGGACAACGATGGATTATTTAACACGGGTGGCACACACACAAGGGGACACAGGTGGAAGCCGAGTACCCAAATGAGCCGCAGAGACATTAGAAAGAACTTTTTCAGTGTCAGAGTAGTTAGTAAATGGAATGCACTAGGAAGTGATGTGGAGGAGGCTGACTCCATACACAGTTTCAAATGTTGATATGACAGAGCCCAGTAGGCTCAGGAATCTGTACATCAGTTGATTGACGGTTGAGAGGCGGGACCAAAGAGCCAGAGCTCAACCCCCGCAAACACAACTAGGCGAGTACACAATTTTTACTAAAGCTATGTCAAATCTGACTTTCATAACATTTGAATTTTAAGCTGACCAAAATTGTGCACGTCTTTACCAAGCCTTACAAACCCACCTGGAACGATGAACTGTGGATCAGAGCCCTGGGCATAGTGGACAATGGCTCCACCTGCTGTGGCGGCGTTTGTCATTGCAATTGTCTGTAGACCGTCACTTCCTTGTCCACTCAGCTGCAGACCACCAGCTGGGAGTACTGAAGAAAGTAGTGGAGTTAAGTATATTTTAAAACTTTCATACAGAACAAGTTCAAACTTGTCTCGTTAGCCTACTAAGTACTTTATAATTATAACAGTACCCATGGCAGGATAATGGGCAACAGTACCCATTAGAGGAGTATAGGAAATAACAGAGAAATTGGTCGGTGCTAACCAAGGTGGATTCCATTGTTGGCGAGGTTATGTCGAGCAGATATTTCGAATATCCCTTGAGCTGTGCCACAACATTCTCAAAACACTCCAGTCAACAATGATACGAAAAATAGTTCAGAATTTTCCATTTGGCAATCATAAACTATAATGTGAAAACACTGCCACCCTGTTGTTTAATGAATTTTGGTTATTTATATTTTGCATCACTACACACACAAGCTTTCTGCATTTAATATCTACTTTGTGACTGCAAAGTGAAGGGAGCATTAGATACCCTTGGGCTGTGCACCTACTAATAGCAGACTCTTTTTGTTTACCTTTTTCTTCTAACATTGTTAAAATGCATTCCCTGATCACAGGAAAAATAAAAAATAAAATTGTATATAACTAACTTTGTCCATGATGGAGAGGGCAAGTCTCCCGATTCATGAGAGTTAATCAAGTCGTGGCTCCAAGGCGGTCGCCTGGAGTGGGAGTTGCCGCAGGGGTATTTTTTTTTTTTTTTTTTAAAGATTTGTTTCACTAATTAGTTCCCCCTCCCCCCCTTTTTTGCATTATTATTATTCATTTACAAGTGTCATTTTAGAAATTTATATATAAAAAAAAGTGGTAACATTGGAGGCCTGGTCGAGGACCAGGCCACGGGGACGCTAAGCCCCGAAATCATCTCAAGATGACCTCAATATATAACATTAGAATACTTAATTATATGTCACTAATATGCCCACATTATATTTTTTAAATAATAATAAAAAAAAAATCCTGTAATTATACTCAATACAGAAGTCATATATAACTACCTACATTTTTATGCACGCCACCATGAACTACTAAGCAGTTCTGGTGGCTATGGTAATGACTAAGGACAGCACAGCACCTTTTGCTTCCAGCAGATGATGCCATCTGATGCAACAAAATACTTTCAGCACCGTTTAAAACTAGCCATAACACTGCTATTATCATCAGATTCCTGTCACTAAATCATGAATATGAATAATTTTCACAAGTTGATTTTCTAAAGGAACACGAGGGTCCCATTACATGATGCATGGATGGACGAAACCACTGGTGTGTGCTTTGACACCAGCACTGTGTTCACTAATGTCTAAACCTTCTACATATCAGTTAGGTTCTTCTGTGACACTTTATTTGGCTTACTTGGCCTGTCCTTACAGCTCATTTCTCTCATTTCTTTGTACCCGTCTTTTAGAAAATCTGTGGACCCACCCCACATTTTGTTCTGCTTTACAAGGTATGTTGTCATCCTGGAGCTGTATACCATACTTCCCTTTTGTAATATACACATTGTGTTATAATACTGTATTCTAAGGCATGCAATTGAAAGGTTCTTGAAAGAAATCTATTTTTTTTACTTCTGTTGTTCAGGTGATATTTGTAGGTATTGTCATCTTGTTTGGCATTCACCGATTGTTTATCAAAACACTTGTGGGTGCCTCTACCAAATGTCACCAGACTGGTTTTGACCAGGCAATCACTCCCAAGCTGTATTTCTCTTTTATTATTACAGTATATCTTTTCGCAATGTACCATTCCACAATTTCTCAACAATATGCCAAATATTGCAAGCCATTTGGGGTTTCCTCATTGTTTTTCATCATTTCTCATTCCTTGAGAAATGATGATTCATTTGCTGTTTACAACTGTTTAATACCAATTGCTTCATTAGCATCATCATATTCCTACTTAATTCCACTACATAACCTTCGTGTACACCAAGAGACCGCTATGGTGATGCCCTCGTGCTGGAACACTGCCAGGCACCAATTTATGTTTACACTCGCTCACTGCCACACACTTCTACCATCTTATTTCCTCCTTTTATGCTATTATACTATAAATTTGTAACAATTCCTCACTTGGGTCCTTTCTCCCGAGCTTCATTAACTTTCAGCTACTCATCATGCTTTATATTTTACTACCATGCACTGAACAGTGATTATTTGTGGATAATCCCTAAAGCCTGGCACTGGTTTCCTGGTGGCTAGACCCAATCCACTACTCTTAATTTGCCTCTGCTTTACTCTTTCCAACTCTTCCCGTCATATTAATTTAGCTGCTTGCTGCTAGTGGCCTGGTCGACGACCGGGCCGCGGGGACGCTAAGCCCCGGAAGCACCTCAAGGTAGTGCTCACCACTGACATTTAGATACAGTTGAAGTATACAGCATGTCTTGCAGTGACCCGAGCCACGTGGTCGAGTGCCACGGCACGACGTATAGTATACTTCTCGCCTCTGTGTGCTTGCAGGGTGGTGCATTAGCTCCTAGTCCCATCTTACAAAACGTTCTGTAGTTTAAGGAAATCGCTTCTCTCACTTTTTTTATCACATATGCATTTAAGTTGTATATTGTCCCCGGTTTATTACAAGTGCCGAAGTCTGTTCTTCACCAAGACGTTACTTGAAAATGAAGCCCCATAACAGACTCATCTCTTCCATTCATGTGACAATACTGTACTTCATCAATTATTTCTTTGTTACCATAAAGTGATTGGCACTAAATAAAGTTACAAGTGATTGTAACCGCCGAGTAACAAACCCAAATCTACAATCAACTTGTCGGCAATAAGAGTCACACTAAAGGAAACAGACTTCTATGGTGACTCCAGGCTAGACTGATTATTCTCCCTAGCACCAGTGTAGCCTGACACCAACATTAGACAAGATTTTTGTTGTGCCCGTACAGAATGTACGCGGCCCTCACTGTCACCATCCAGGCCTTTACCACGGATAAATATTGCCTTAGGAAGCACAAGAGTGCAACTGCTCAGAAAATCCTTGATACAGATTAACAACTGGTGCAAGAACTAGTCTGAAAAATACATTTGCATCAGTGGAATTCTTAAATACCAATACATAAACATTAAACACTAGCCGGAACAACAGTGGACATCTTCAAGAGAAAACTAGATTGTTTTCTATAAAAGTGCTGGACCAACCGGGCTGTGGTGGGTATGTGGGCCTGCGGGCCACTCCAAGCAACAGCCTGTTGGACCAAGCTCTCACAAGTCAAGCCTGGCCTTGGGCCGGGCTTGGGGAGTAGAAGAACTCCCAGAACCCCATTAACCAGGTATCAAGCAGGTAAAGCATGTTTAAAGATTTTAGATATTTTCTAACAAAAATCATTAGATTTCATTACTGTATATATATTTTATCACAATGTAATAAAGCTATTAATCTCAAAATAATGATGAATTCCAGTCAGGATTATGCAATAGATTTACCATCACATCACATACAAGGCAAATCAAACCAAATAGCCAACATAAAACTGTCGCACTCATCTACTGCCATTTTAAATAAAGCAAAGCAAATTTTAGGCAAGCGATTATTTTGACTGAAGATGCATTATTATTGCATTATTATACAGTAGAACCTCTATATAGTGAATTATTCTACTTAATGGACCAAATCTGCTCAACACAACCCCACCAAAATTTGGATGTCCGAAAGAAATGCACATCCCAAATGGGGCCATAGTGAAAATATAGATTATGTAGTGCATGTTCTAGCAGACTATTCTATTTTCTATTTTTTGCAATTCTTACACTTACACAATAAATGTCATTAAAAAAAACAAATGCTTTCCAGTGCTTGAACTGCACTATATTTTTAAGTGTAAGTGCAGTCTGATCTCTCGTTACTCAAGCAATTTCACCGATTTATTTGAAAATAATATAATTTGTGCATTATAACGTTGCCATCTAGGAAGGGGATATGTGTAAGGTTAAAGAAACTATCATTGCTGGTTGAGGAGTATGGCATTATGTTTGACAAAGCAGCAAAGAAAGCAAATCATGGAGCTTGTGAGAAAACAAAAGGGAAAACACTGGGTTAAGAGACAAAATTTGAACCTATGAGGATTTCCATGATGCTGTTTACAAGTGGTTTACACAGCACAGTAGCCTTGGGTTGCTACTAATGATGTACAGTTACCCTATAACTGAAAGAATGATCTCCGAGATTACTTTAATGTTGGACAACTGCCATGTTCAGCTAGGCTAGGACAGGTATGCAACCCGCTCACAGTAATTAATGTAAAATGCCTAGAGCAACGTCACAAGCTCTAGGTCTTGATCTTGCTAGATATCGTTCCCATCTAATCTCTACCTGGTGTGCAGTGAAATCACAGTAATCAGTTCATCAAAAAGAATCTTATTTTTTTTTATATTCTTAGTATAAGTGGAGGATCCATTTATGGGACTGAGTCGGCAAAAATTTGCAATGAGAGAGAAATGATTTCCCGAAACATTATGTACTTAACGTACAAATTTATTCACAAAATTTTTTCAGTGAATAACTTCATATTCACTAAATTTACTAATTTTATTCCTTCAAATTAGAACAGACAAAAATGTACACACACACATGGAAATGGAATACAGTAATGTCTACTTTACGAGGTGTTATAAGCAAATAATACACAGTACCGTACCATCTCTTAGCGACGGTATTCAGGCGACATAATGCAACCTCGCCTTAACAGCCAATAATAATAACCAACTCCAGCAATAACGGTTGCCTAACACCACTGCCGTGTGCAAAAGAATAATGTGAAGCTCAGTATGAATGCAAGCACAATGAAAGACTGACATGTGTTGGAAATACAAGTGTAAACACATGCACGGTCAAGAGCCGCACTCCGTGGTATGTTTTGCTCTGAATGGGCACACCAAACGGGATCAAAAGTATCCACCAAACTCATTGGGTCGCACTTAAGCGCCATAAAATGCGAGTTAGTTTTGTACACTAGCTAAATACAATTTACTCACTACAGGTACACCACCACACACACACAAGGGTTCCCTTTTCCTGTAGGCGACATTAAATGGGGAGACATCTCAACAAGGGTGCGACTGGAATGAGGACTTGTTGCTGTAGTCTAGGGTGACAGTGCTCTGGAGTTCAAGGGAGCACTCGTCTTTTGCATTAGAAGCTTCCATGAAAATGAGCAGGAGGGAGAGGAGGACAAACCAGCCGAGCTCACCTCACTTCATCTACGTTAAAGCCTTCCGACAGAGCACCAATCAGAATTCCGTTTCAACCATACACACGCATCTGATTGGCTGAACTCTGGGCTTCGCTAGTGAGGATGGGAGAGGAGAGGAATGGGTTATCACAACCGTTGGCCTGGGTCAGGTCGGCAGACACGGGCTGGGATACCGGCCACACTCGACAGCTAACTTTGGGGTAAAACCACCCGTCCATAATTACAAGCACGTTATATAAACTGCCCTCTACTAGTATAACCAGGCATCACATGTTGCCACACACGATTTCGGAACCGCCGATACTAGTCCCGATCCGTGGACACCCGACACAAGGTACTCGTGCCCTTAGATATAGGCCAATATCAATGTTCAGTGTACAGTGTGCACAGAACTACACAGCATTGCTCAGCACAGCAGCCATGGGGTACAAGACTAGCTGAGAGAACATCTTTCTCTCACAAACAGCATGAACTATGGGTATGAAATCTTCAGGGCCAGTTTTATAGATGCATATGATAGTACTATGATTGCATGTTTGCTGCCTCTGGGTTACAAGAAACAGGTGGAGAACAGTTAATTTTTTTTGTGTATATTATTTAAATGCACAATCATTATTTATATATTTCTCTAAATAAGCAGATATGTATTACATGTTTACACCCTAGCAGTCCAGTCTTTCTGCACTTTCCCAACAGTAAACATTCTGGGCTCCCCGTGTCGCTCAGCAATGTGAAAAATATTTAATTTTTACATTAAAGTTATTTTTTTGGGTAATAACAGACTTGGTGTCACAATGTTCACTGATGAATTCTCTACAGAACAGATGCAAAAACAAAGTGCACTTATGATAGATTATGCACAACAGCCATGTATATACAACTGTTTGCGAACAGCAATCTGATGTCGCATTCAAGTGTCACTGGGAATGTTTACCGTCTGATACGGATGATACGTATTAGCATTATCAGAAAGTAAAAGCGTCAAGAAACTACACTTTCTGAGCAGCCCTTGGTAGCTTCCTAGTGCTTAACGCTCTGATACAAATTAAATTTCCAAATGCAACCAGGCCCCTGGACCTGTGCAGCTACTAAAAACACCTGTACCAGAATCAGGTTCTCTGGTCACAAAGACCAGAGGAAGTATGGGAATCATATCAACACAACCCTAGGTAAACTCCCTAGAATGTCGTAGGCATAATAACACAAACCATGACACTTAAGAAATGAAAGTTAAGAAACAAGGCTAACAGTTTCTGGCAGCAGGTAAGCAAATCCCCAATTCAACTTGCCTGCCAATCACAAGATAACATCCCAGATTACTTAATTGCTGCCCAAACCATATCCCCAATATGAGAAGGGTACCGGTCGGCCGAGCGGACAGCACACTGGACTTGTGATCCTGTGGTCCCAGGTTCGATCCCGTGCACCGGCGAGAAACAATGGGCAGAGTTTCTTTCACCCTATGCCTGTTACCTTTCACCCCTGTTACCTAGCAGTAAAATAGGTACCTGGGTGTTAGTCAGCTGTCACGGGCTGCTTCCTGGGGGTGGAGGCCTGGTCAAGAACCGGGCCGCCCCGGTCCTTGACCCACACTAAGAAGCCCCGAAATCATCTCAAGATAACATCAAGAACAAGGTGGAAGCTATTGAGGGCTGCCCAGAAAGTGTTTCATTATATTTAATACTATATTTCTGATCTAGACCCATCAACATCAGTCCGAAAAATTACTCGCAATGGCATCTCTGATAAGAATGATTTTGCTACAAGTGAAAATTTAGTGCGAAACCAATTATCCAGACCAATTTGTTCCTCCAAGGAAATTCAGATGCCTGAAAATCATTATACAGGTAATATAAAAAAAAAGATTGGTTCAGGTCACTGGGACTAGGTTAGGCTGGCTGTGAAGTATCTCCATGTTAACATTGATTAACTTTGAACTCATGTTCCTTCCATTAATAAACTTTTAGTTCTTAAATCTTTCACTTTATTTAAACAAGATGCCCAAATAAACCTATCCACGTTGAAAGAATGAGGAAGACATCAGCTAGCAGATGACATTTTGTAATCGTTGTCATACACACCTTCACTAAGCATGATGCAAATTTGCTGTTATTTATTGCCTCTGGCATTAGAAATCCACATTTTTTTACTTTACAAAATGGTTTGGATGGTTTGATATAACCAAATGAGGGAGGCAGAACTGACTGAGCACCCGGTTCATAGTGATAATATTGGCAGACCTAGCCAGCCTCCTGCCAGTAATATTGGCTCAAATGCCCATAGGTTGCAACATATACCAATCACACCCTATAAGCCGTTACACATTCCATCTTTGAACTGCTATGCAATTATAATGGTAACATTATATTCAAATTTTTTGCATATTTAGTGTATTATAACAAGGAAAACCATATATTTTTACCCTTTATCATAGATATGGATGATAGGAGGAGAGGCAAAACAGGAGGGAAAAATGGTAGTGATAACTGCATGATAATGGATGATTCAAGTTCAAAAGATTAGACAAAAAGATAAAAGTGGTTAATTTAACAGGGTTAAAATGTAAAAGAAGCAGCTTAAATGCTATTTAACCAACGCACGGCAAGCGAACGAACCTTTCAACAAACCTGCAGTCTGATACTGCTGCCCCCCAATGGTTACAGTTCCTGTTGGCTCGTCCTGCGAGGAATCCGAGCTTCCTGCGTCACCTTTGTCTGCCAATAAAAATGGGGTCATAATAAATTTTTTGTCCATCTGACAAGCCAAATCAAAAATAGGATTACGATATCTAAATTAATCCGAAGGTTTATACTATTCCAATTGTTTACAATCCATTTTATTAAATAAATTAGGTCATGGGAATCCCATCCTAAGTAAATATCAAAAGAAAGCACCAGGCTGGGAAGACTTTGTAGTACCAGCATCATGAAAGACTGGCATATTTCAATTCTGAAACATATGCTTACAAAATTACATTTACAAAACTTATTTCGGAGCTTCGTAATAATGGACATTTCTACGGCTCATTCCTTTGTCTTTCTCCATCCTTCTCTCTCAGTGGACCACACTTGCTGATGGACTGATTCTCACCCATTGAAAAGTTTCCAATGCAAGTGGTCAATGCTTCAATTATGCAAGAAATCTAACTGCTTACATATAATAATTATAAAAAAATACAATCCACAATACACTTCATAGCACAAGAACCCATTGCTCAGCTTCAGTAAGATGTTTAAGTTCTACTGAATTGGACAAGCACAGGAAAAACAGTCTGAAAGGTGAGGAAGACAGTATAAAAAATGGGTCTATGTTTTATCAAAAATCACAGTGAATACAACATCAACGAAAGAGACTTGTTACCTTGCCGGGGATATAATGTACATTACAAAAATTAACGGCTCTTCAGTAAAATTGTAAGGTGAAACACATGCTGCTCACTGTTATATCAGTATTTCAAAATTACATCCAGGTTAAAGTACCCAGTCATTAAGCATAAATCATGGTGTCACAAAGTCAAGCATTCTTTTTCACTTTTACACATTCCTATCTAAACATCAATTGAAAATTACAAATATTTTCCAGTTAGGAAAATATAACAATACTCGTGCTCCCTTTTAGGAAGTATTATATAAATGATGAATATACACATGAATTTTTTTTTTTTATCCAGCAAACTAAAACTGCCCTGATTCATTCTGTCAACATATATACATGAAGTTGAAAAAAACCTCACCTGATATCTCACCTCCACCTAATTCATTGAGAATCTTGCGGTAAGATGGCCGTCTCGCCAGGATTTGTCGTTTACGAGATGAATCCTGGTCGTCACTCGCCTCCAATACCTGCCAATCATATTAAAATAAATTGTACTTAATGCTTTAGTAACATCAGTAAAACTAATATAATTGTAATGGGCAATTGTAAATTACAATAATTGTAACTAAGCAATACCAAAGATTAATTATTAACCTTTAGATAGTGGTTTATGTTAACCCAGATACTGTACAAGGTTAACCCCAAGGACAATGTAACTACAGGTAATGCTAATTAACATTTCTTGCAATTAAAACCTACGAGACTTGTTTTCTGCTTATAAATCTAAACACTTTTCAAGACGTGACATTTCCCCCCTTAGTGCCTAATAAAATTATTAACGTTGCTAATATAAAAATCATTAATTAGAAGAATTTTGGAGCATGTGGTATAATCAAAAAATAATTATAAGAGGAATCTATATCACTATAAAAACTTAATATGAAATTCTGTATTCATGTACAATAGAATTTTGTTGGTATGTAGCACAAATCGCCACGAGTTGATTCTACACAACCCAAGTTGTTTACAGATCTTGATGGGTGCTTTGTTACTGTTATTATTTCTAGAGGGCTCTCATGATCACACGCCATATTGTGGGGAAAAATCCAAGCTCTAATTTCCTTACCAAACCCTAGTAAACAAAAGTATACCATGTGAGGTACATCATCATCCAGAAAGTTAATACTACCAGACCACACAGGGAACCACTGGCATCATGCAAAATTGCAATGACTATGCAGGTATTAGATCGTAAGTGATGAATAGACACACAAGTGGTTAACTTCAATATTATCCATCAAAAGTATGAAATACGCTGATCAAGCAAGGGAAGGGAGACGGAGGCTGGTGCGGGTGGTTGACACAATGACACACTAAGAACACTCGTACTGTGAGTTACTAATTGGAGTACATTTGATGCCACAACATCCAATTCTGCTACAAATATGATGATAAGAGTAGTGATCTTATTTGCAGTTGTAAGTGGATGAGTATGCTAGGGCTGTATTCATGCAGCAAGTACTAGGTGGCTCAGTTGTTACTGTACCAACAATAATCACGTACAGACAATGTGATAATTTCCTGTGGTTGTGCAGTGTTCTCTCTTGTTACTAACAACGTGTATCCATTTGTTTTTTTATTTGCTATTATAAAGTCAAAATGTTTAACCCTTACATGACAGCATGTCATTTAACATTTCAATATAGAAATTTAAGGATTTTGGGTCTTCCATACTTATCCCTATATTTACCAAAATTTTACACATCGCTGGCTATTATTACTTGTTAACATGCTAATCCTTGCTACTATACAAAAACAAAAAATCTTCAATTAGAAGAATTTTGGAGCATGTGGTTCGTTCATACCCCAAAAATATTTATTCTAAATATTGAAACCATTTTTGTAAGTTTTTCCATTCACCTTATTTTCCTTGAATCCTACAAAAATTAAGATGTATCTAAATATCAAACTTAATTACAGGATTGTACTGTACTTTAAAATTCTGTATATCAAACAAAGTACAGCATATGAAATTATTTTGTGCAGAACTACATGCCAATCATAATACAGAATATTTTAATACATACATTAAATGTTTTTGAATCGGGACATAATATTATGGCAGACCAAACGAGTTAAAACGGCTCATTTGGAGTTAATCTTTTTGCCGATCTTTGAAATCCTTTACTGTAGAGTACATGTACTGAACCGTACTTTGTACTCATAAAACAATTTATCACAAATAAAGAAATGTTATAAATGCATTCCATTGCCAGTTATATCAAACACTAACATTGCACGGTACATGACACTTATCAGTTTTATAATACCATCATTTGTAAAATGTTGTAGTCCAAGAAAGGCAAAAGTAGTGTCACACTAAGCATCTGATTGTAATACATTTTTATAAATTGTTACTGTGCTACTGTATACATTACGCCACAGCAATCCTACCTGCACTGTCTGAAGAGTACCTCCACCAGCCGACTGAATTACTGAATTGGACTGCTGCGAGGGTTGTTTAAGAAGGATAACGTTTCCTTTAGATAGCTGTACGGTCTGCAAGGCTGTGCTCTGAATGACACTTGGCTGAGAAGGTTGCTGTATCACACTCTGAATCTGGAAGAAAAAAAAAAAAAGTAATTTTTAGCAAACATTAATTTAAAAAATGAAGCATTCATAATTATACGAAAAGCACAAAAAAACACATTTTAACTTATGGGGTTTGCAGTCATTCTCAGTGTTAACTATTTTAAGTGATTTTCATATGTACTGGTCGTTAAGCTGTTAAAGTCATCATTATCTATTTTCTGGAGAACCAGTCTAATCATGCAAAAGTGTCTGTATTGTATTTCACATTCACATTGTATTTTTTTTTTTAAATTCCATCAGGCTTTTTTTTTTTAAATTACAAACTAGGAATTTTTTTTTTAGACTTGCCTTGACATACTGCAAATACAGAAAAGGTCCATGACATTTCAACACTACACAAAAGGGGCATAACTAGCCCAACGCTTGTGGAGTTTAACAGAGCTTTTGAAACACCTTCAAAGGACATCTGATCAACCAGGCTATGATTCCACACATTAGGCTACGAGCAGCCACATCGAACAGCCTGGTTGACCAGACCGCATTATTTGCAGGCCTGGTCCCACTATAAATATCTGATGTAAACATTTGTTATAGTAACCACAATTGATCAAATTAATGCTTACAGAAAATTATCTTTTGAAAGTACTCTTGAAAAGCAATCTCAGAAGCCTTGATATGAGCTGCTAGCATACAGTAATTCTGTAATGACAGGTCTAGATGATGTGCAAGTTATTAGATTGACATTTTCTCTTCAGAAAAGTGTTGTACCTGGAGCATACCTGGAGAGGGTTCCGGGAGTTTTTCTACTCCCATTGAGCCTGGGCCCCAGGCTCAACTTGTGATAACTTGGTTCAACAGGCTGTTGCTTGGAGTGGCCCACAGACCCACTACAACCTGACTGGTCTGGCACTTCTCGCAAGAACTCGTTTAAATGCTTCTTGAAGACATCCACCTTCGTTCCGGCAATACTGTATTTCTAATGTTTGCTGGGAAGATACTGAATAGCCGTGGACCTCTGATGTTAAGACAGTGCTCTGTGCCAATAGCACCTCTGCTCCTCACTGGCTATTCTGCATTTCCTTCTGTATCTTTCATTCCAGTATATTGTTATTCTACTGTGCAAATTTGGAACTTGGCCTTACAATATCTTCCATGTATATGTTACTCGATACCTCTCTCATGATACATCTCATATACATACATAGGAGATACATCTCCTTTCCAGAGCACATTTTGAGAGCCTTGAGACGATCCCAGTAACTTAGGTTTAATCATGTCTATGCTTGCAGTACATGTTCTCTGTATTTCCTCTATTTCAGAAATCTCCTGCTCTGAAAGAGGAAGAGAATACTGAGCAGTACTCAAGATGGGACAGTACCAGTGATTTAAATAGTATTAGCACTGCTGTGAGACATATGGATTTGAACATTCTCATAATCTATCCTATAATGTTTCTGGCTGCTGCTATATTTGCGCGGCTATGTTCATTAAATGTCAGGTCATCAGACAACAATTCCCAGATCTTTTACTTGTTACTTTCCTTTTATGTGTAAATCTGTGTCTTGTACTATGTATTTAGTTAAAGTTTCTCGTTTCTACCATACCCAAGTACCTGGAACTTATCACCATTAAACACGTTATTTTCCATTGCCCAATTGAAGACTTCCTTAATATCGTCTTTCAGTTTTTCTTCTACAGAAGAAATTTTCATGCATGATTTGCATATCAACAGCAAAGAATGACACGAAGCTGCGACTAGTATTTTTGCCTATCTAGACAAAAGAATGAGAACCTAGAAAAGAAAGAGCAGTGGTGCAAGGACTGTTCCTTGGGTACAAAGCTTTTCACTGCACTTGGACTTAATCTTATTTGATTGACTGTTACTCTCTGCATTCTGTTTGACAAGGTTTAAAATCCAATGCCCCACTTTACCCATTATTCCTATCGATTTCATTTTATGGACTATCACCCCATGATCACACTTAACAAATACCTTTGCAAAGTCTGTGTATACAACATCTGCACTATGTTTTTATTATAATGCTTCTGTACTTACCTAGTTGTGCGTGCGGGGGTTGAGCTCTGGCTCTTTGGTCATGCCTCTCAACTGTCAATCAACTGGTGTACAGATTCTTTAGCCTACTGGGCTCTATCATATTTACATCAAACTCTGTGATTTTGTCATAGTGGTTGAATAACTGTGAAACACAGGAACTTCCTGCTCTAAATCCATGTTACCGGGTTGTGCAGTTTGTTGTTGTCTGTAAAACTGGAGATTTCATTCCTAATCGCTTTCAAAAACTTTAACGAGTGATGTTAGGCAAATTAGTCTATAGTTTTTTGCCAAAGCTACCTCCCTTGTGTAATGGCTTTTTCTCATATTACACCGAGTGCTCGCACTACTGGTACTTTACATCTCTATGAATATTGAATTCCACAAGTGTCAGGACCTGGGGCTGAGTGCATAGGCATATTGCCACTTTATCTCTCAAAATCTCCTGTGTCAGTGTTAATATCAGTTATATTATCTAGAGTTTGGATGTCATTCGTAAAGAAGCTGTCCGGATCTTCAACTTTCATGTTTATTGGGATGCTAAACATAGCTTCATACTGGCCTTTTAGGACTTCACTAATTTCTTTTTCATCCTTTGTGTACAAACCTTCAGTTGTAAGTAAAGGTCCATGCTGGTGGAGGTTTTGATTTTGATTTCAGGTATGTGAAAATTAATTTTGATTTCTTGTATAGCTTTCTATTCCAATTCCTTAGCCTGGTATGATCGCTTCAGTGTCTGCTCTATTTCTTCAACCTCCCTATTTAGATTTATTTTTCTTTGTTGTGAAAGTCATATCTGCTTAAGCATTTGTAATTTTTTCCTTCTGTACAGTTATCTGTACTATCTAGTGGCCCTCTTTCCGAGTTTCCTCACGGGAACATGCTTCAAGCAGATCTAGTATGCTTCAAGCAGATTTTTTATACTTCAGCAGTTAATTGAGCTATTCCCAGTGCTTAAAAGCAGTGTTTTACCACTTAAGACTGTTCGCTATTGGATGATTGCAGGGTCTATAGTCCCCCCTCCCCCAAGTTAATCCTCTTATTGTTAAATTTGAATTTATTCAATAACCCTTCTTGCTTGTTGAGCCTCATGGACCTACTACAGTATTAATGTTAATTTGAACTAAAATGAGCTTGTGGTTTGAGTATGTTGTCTCCGACTATTTCTTCAATGTTTGTGAAGAGCAGGTCGAGTGCGTTTTCTTTTCTAGTTCTGTAATCTGATCACTTGTAGACTCTGCCTATCTTTGTATGTGTAGTTACGTGGTCACACCATCTTTATGGGAAGCAGGTGTCTGGAATAAGAATTCCTTATCCAACACCCATATTCATCACCTTATCAGCAAAATGAGGTGGCATTGCATGCATTCAAACAGCACTTGGTACTCCACTATTCTAACTGTTACTCTTCCTAATGTTTTTCCTGCAAATCACCTCGTGTCTTATCGAGTTGATCTGGCAGAGCCAATCCTGAACGTTTTGCTTAGATCTCACCTCTTCCAGATTCCCCATTAATTTTTTTTTTTTAATTTTATTTTAGTTTTAGTTTTTTTAAACACAGTATTCACATACAGTTGAAACCCACTTGTTTGTTTGATGTAGATTTGTTTACTGGTAGGTTTTGGGTGTCCCTGTCATTCAAGGACCTGACACTTAAGGGCAATCTTATGATGCAAGTGATCTATCCCTCTTAATAATCAGCACCGTACAACCCTCCCCGATGCTGGTACAGTACTCGGCTCGACTCTTAACGATTTATTAAATATGCAAGGCAAGAGTTTAAGCTCATCTCTGCACCCTACCTCGTCTTGTTGGGCTTTCATTTTTCTAATTGTTTAGTAACTTTCTCCTCGGTAACTACTAATCTAATCAACTTGTCTTATTCACCACCACCGCATATTTCTTCAACTAAAGTTGAAATATCGGGTGCTTCACTAGTAAATGCAGAAAACTATTTAAAATATTGTCTATTTCTTTATCATCTGTTACATTGCTTTTTGTTGTTTAATACACCAGTCTTCTGCCTAGCCTAATCTTTGTATATGCATAGTACAAGGTGGTGGCAGCCGAAAGGCCCTTGACCTGGAGTGAGTTCCGAGTGTTCTACTCCCAAGTCTGGACTGGGGCAAGGCTTAACTTGTGATTTGATCCAACAGACTGTTACTTAGAGTAGCCCACAGACCCAAATATCCATTACAATCTGGTTAGTCCAGTACTTTTTGTAGGAAACACTATACTTTTTGTTTGAAGAAATGTACTTTTGTTCTAGCAATACTACTTATGAATATTGAACAGATGTGAACCTTAGATGTTCATACAGTGTTCTCCAATTTGTGCTAATGGCACCTCTACTCTTCACTGACTATTCTTCAGGTCATACCACATTGATCACTCCAGTATGTTGTTATTTTTCTGTGCAGATTTGGGACCTAGCCTTCCAGTACACTATCTCCCATTGATGTATTGTGATAAATCTCTCATCTCTTGAGTAGGTTTTTAAAGCTTGAGATTATCCAAAGTAGTTTGGTGCTTCAACATGTCAATGCAGCTGTATATGTCCTCTGTATTCCTTATATTTCAGCAATCTCTCCTATTCTGAAAGGTGAAGTGAATATCGAGCAGTTCTCAAGGCAAGACAGCACAAGTGGCTTGAATAGTATGAGCATTGTTATGGGATCCCTAGGTTTGAAGGTTCTCATAAGCCATCCTATCATTTTCCTGGCTGATGCTGCATTTGCTTGGTTGTGTTCACTAAATGTTAGGTCATCAGACATCATTCCAAGAGTCTTTACACGTTTTCCTACTATGAGGAGATCTGATTTTGTCTTGTACCCTGTATTTTCTTCGATTCCTTCATTTCCCCATATCTAAATACAGGCACCTAGAATTTATCATTGTTAAACATGGTTTTCCAATGCCCAATCAAAGACTTTAATAATATCGGCTTGTAGTTTTGCAACGTCTTCTACAGAAG